AAACCACCATGTGATACTGTTGTAACTGCTAACGGCTCTCCAGGTCAAGGTACAGTAAATGCCTTTATCAGCACCCTGCTTTCTATACACCTTACCCAGTTCTTTATTCATGTGCATAATGATGATAATGCATAATTACCAGACAAGAATATGTTTAATAATCTCTCATTCTTGTAAATCCACCCACTTTGGAATTTCTAGCTGTGTGTTTTTATTGCATCTTTCATGAATGATGAAATATTACAAAGTTCCCAAGACTTTGAGCAGCTATGATGTATGATTTAAACATGGGTGTTGAATTGTATTTTTTTCACTATTGCCATCAATTGATGACTGCTTGTTCTTTTATAACTGGATCCTGATTATACTAGGACCTGCAGTCTCTAAAACTCCATTTGGCCATCAGGCCGTGCCTAGGGAGTTGGATAAAAAGTGTTGCTGGAAAGATGAGTGACCCAGGGAACAGCAGGGCTGGAGCACACCTTATCAGAGGCCTCTGAGGCCTGACTGGGTTGTGGTTACTCTGCTGGAAGGGAATCTCACTGGCAGCAATTCTCATTGTTCCACCCCTGAGAAAAGAACAAAGGGGCAGACTAAGTCGCAGGCCGCTATCCCTGATCCGGCATTGTTCCAACGGGGGTGACAGACCCTGGCACGTTCCTGGGCACAATTGAAACTGCAGCCATCAGCAGAGCAGGCAGTAATCTCCCGAGACAGGCCGCCCCTCCTCTTGGACCTAGGCCCCACTGTCGGGGTGTGATGCTAATTATAACGGTCAACAACTTGTGTTCACCTATTGCATTCACCACTAAACTGATGATCTAGCCGTTCCCCTGCTCTTTACATTTAGTGTGCTGCAAGTTGCAAAAGCCAATGAGACCAATGAGAAACATCTGGCAGTCTTTTAAAAATTAAAAAGCCGTAGATGGCAAAAGAGTAATATAGAAAGATCAGATTTCTATGGCTGTGTTATTATATTTCTGAATAGTTTCTGTGAAGTCATTTTTTTTAATGAATATATAGCGCTCAAAGAGAGTTATTCTTTAAAATTACACAGCTTTGAAATACAGTACATACTCAAATAAATCAATCTTAATTAGTATTCAACAGGAAATGTCAGCATCTAATTAAGCTTTTCTTAATTTCTTAATTAAGAGATTAGTGTGGTATTCTATTCTGCCGTTTTTACATGTGAGGAAGAACACAGTAAATAATTGAGTACTTTTCTGCTAACATCACTCAGACTTTTAATTAATGAAAAGATTTCTCATGGTCTGATTGTTTGTGGGATGTGTTGGGATTTCAAAGCATTGTGTCTGTGTGGATCAAGACGAAACAAGCTTGGTTACTGCTCGTCTGATAATGAATCTGGCAGGAAAATAACTTGACGCCTGAAAATGATTTTAGCTTTTAAAAAAATGAAAAGAGTTTACTTCTATATTACAAACTAAATCTACCTGGGTATAATATCACATTAGATATTACTTTATCCAATATTGTGAATTATTATTTAAAAAAAATCTCGGTATTGCCAGTTGTTCTCTGGTGACTCTTCCTGCACATATCCGGGAGATAATAAGACACAATCTTCTGGTACTGCCACCTACAGAGCCTGTGTCACACACAGCGAGCTCCACAGCTCCTCACCATGCAGTTAGGAAAGATGGACCAGTGCATGTCTTAATGGGGTCACTGCAAGCCTGCAGGCACCTGGCCAGCAACAGGAGATACTGTTTTCCAGAAAGCTGAGAGAGAGCCCTGCCAGTTCCCCTGGGGGCTCTCTGCCAACTGTGAGACACTGCTGGGAGAATCCCAGACTCAGACTTGCCCTTGGATGTTGCCATTGCAATTGGAGATTTGTCTCAGTCCTTTATGGAAGATTAAATCCCAACAGCTTACCTTGTAGGTTAACAGTCTTTATCTCTTCTACGTGAGTGAGGGGGTTCTAGCAGTGTCTAGGGTGGATTATTTATTGGCTACTGCAGCCTCGTGTTTATAAAAAAAGGCAGAAATAACTGCATACAGTATAAGAAATATCTATTTAAATGCAATTCAAATATGTATGGCATAAACTTGAACACCCACTAGGCCACTAAGAGAGGCAAGGTCAATGAAATCGGTAGCTGGAGATTATCAACAAAGCAAAAGCCAAGAGAAGCAGCTGTGCCCGTGAACGATTGTCGAACGGCGGAGAGAAAGAGGTGGCTTGAACAGCTGGTCAGGTTTGGCTGCCATGAAATGGGAGCTCAGATGATAGAAATGTTTAATGTAGGGTGACCAAAATAGGAATGCCATGCTATCCAGCCTTTACTGAGATCCGGTTTCTCTCAAATTGCTTGGCATTACACCATGCTGTTTACCTCCCAGTCCCTCTATGGCAATTAGTGACACCAGTTAAAAGAGAGGCAGGGTTATGAGTCAGCCATATAGTACCAGATATATAGAGAACTATGTTAATGGGAAACTTTTGTGAGAGATAAGCCAGCCTGCATCCTTAGTGCATTTCTCTCAAAATAGTTCAGCTTAGGTAGTGAGCTCACTTTTGAATGGTAATCTAATTAGCTATCCTACCCTTTCACCATTTGCTTCTATCTAATGTATGTGCAATATTTAATCCAACAGTGTCCCATTTCCTCCCATCCACACGCACAAGTCTTTGGAGAGCATGCATATGGCAAATCCTTGGCTCAGGCTGTAATATGACTCCAGAACCAAAGAGCAAAGACAGGAGAAAACTGACCACTCATATGTAGAGCTCCCAGAACAGATAGTACTGACTGAGCCAGTCTATGTCTAAGGCACAGCACACAAGCAATCAAAATGTGTTTATAAAAAAAACTTTAAATTTGTTTTGTGTTTGAGTAAAGGCATTACAGAGAGACCAATTATGCCACTGAGCACGGCCCTAACCTACCAACTGGATAGCCACACGTTCTTGTTATTATAGCATTTTGACAATTCCTAATTGCACAAGCAGTGACAATTTTTAAATCTTGCGGCCGAGGAACAATATTTTGAATGTTACAGTTGTTGTAGAGGACTCTGACCATAATTATGAGTACTAATGCTATTTTAACAGCTTTGAGGTCTTGCTAAGTAGGAGCTATGAGTCCTCCACCATGTCAAGCAAGAAACGTAAAGGTAGCATTTGCATACATTTTGCTTTTGTGGAAAGGGTTATTGGTACTATAGCTAGAGAAGTGCTGGCTTGGTTCCCTGAAGGGCAATGTCATTCTTGATCTAAGCCATTTGTCAGATTAGCTCAGGAAAAGACTGATATTTCAACCAACATTTTGCTAGAGGTTGTTAAAGGCCATTTAATACATGTAAATAGGTAGAGTAGAGGTAAATATGATAATTATTTGATATTTGGTGAAGGGCTGAAAATGCCACATTTGCACATGGGTTGAATTATTTTTTTTTGGTACATAAAGGGCTTTGTGGTTAGGTTTTTCAAGAACTTACTTTGTGTGTAGTTATGAAGGTTTTTTATGAAGGCAACAAAAATCATATTGTTAGGATTTAATGTGCTTGGGCCTTGTGAGCCATCATATTTAGGTTGGGCCTGTTACAATATATTCAGTCACTGATAAGCAATTTACTGCTCAACATAATCACAGAGCTTGAAAGGAATCCTAACATGAGCCACAACCCTTACGTCCCAACCCACATTCTTAACCACAACCAATACCCCAGCCTTAGCCCTAAGAATGTACCATTCACCCAACCCAAGACCTGCTTTCCATTGACACTTGGAAGTTCTCAGTGTTTCCCAGTAGTGCTTGACTGAGTAGAAGCTCATGTAGATGCTCCACTGATGACCCGAGGTGACTCTCTTGATTGCAGGGGACTGTTGGCTGTTGGCTGCCATAGCCTGCCTGACTCTGAATGAGAAGCTACTGTACCGGGTCATCCCTCCTGATCAGAGCTTCACCGAGAACTACGCCGGCATCTTTCACTTCCAGGTGAGGATCCTTGAGCTAGCTTGCCACAGAGGTAACAGTAGTCCTCATTGTTGAAGGTGGGATCCCTGTAAGGCTTTGAGCATCAGTCCTTTGTGTTTGTCATGCTGTGGCTTATGAATAGACTCAAAAACAGCTTTTTCTGTGTGTGACATCTACAGGATACCATTGTATCATAGACACAGTGAAATAGTGTTGAAGTACTGCCTCTCATTTTGGTATCAAAGCAAATGAATAAAATGATTGTCAAGGGTACCTACTGAAAATGCAAAATCAAATGTTTCTATAAGTTAAAACAGTTTTAGCTTCATTCAATGACTTGCAGATGCAGTACTTGAAAATGATTAACTATAAATAAGTAGGGATGGTAATGTTAGGTCTTTGAGTCTTAGAAAATCTCTTGTCTGCTTTAAGAATAGTTTGTATTCTTAGCTTTGTATCAGTAATGTGAACTTACAGCTATACTATACTTTACAGATATGCTTTACATTCCTGCCTGTGTTCATTTGCATTATATACAGACTGTTAGGACCCCAGGTCTGTAGAACAAAGAAAAATGACCCAATTGTTATTATACATTGATGTTAGTTAACACCAATACCACCATGTCAGGATTGATTAACATCTTGTAGAAACCAGATCTTTACTTATTCAGGTTGCGGTTATGTTCACCACAGGATTGGAAATATTTCCTTGAGGATCAGATCATATCATTGTCCCTTTCTTTAAATTGGAAAGGAACTTAATAGTGAGATCAGAATTTCATTTTTTGTCAATGACAATGAAAAACCCCATTTGGATTATAAGATTTTTTTTAAAGAAGCATGAACTAGTGTGTAATACTTGATTCATTGATTAATCGATTCAAGAGTGTACAGTAGATAGTGAATGCCAAGCTGATGGGGTTCCCAGATCACAGTCATGGCTAAATCCTACAGTATTTTGTAGGAATGAAAATGATCAAAATTACACTTTAAATATATCTGCCTTTGATGTTTGTAGTGTACCCTGTTTGTGGTGTTCATTAAAAAAAACTCTCTCTGTTTTGCAGTTCTGGCGCTACGGTGACTGGGTAGATGTTGTTGTTGATGACCGAATCCCCACTTTCAACAACCAGCTGGTGTTCACCAAGTCAGCCGAGCGCAATGAATTCTGGAGTGCTCTACTGGAGAAGGCTTATGCCAAGTAGGAATGATAGAGCAAAGTGTATCTCTACTGAGTGAAACACAAAATGGCAATAAACTGTCCCAGTCAAATGTGCTGTAGTGAGTACACCAAGAAAATCTTTCTGGCCAGGACCAATACTAGAAATGCAAAGAAGAAAACTACATTATTATGGACATATATACCTTTGTTTCTGGTGCAGGGTGTCAAACTCAGTTCCTGGAAGGCCCAGAGTCATCTGTGTTTTTATTTATCCTGAGTAGTCATTTGCACAATTAAGCTAATGATTTTCTTCGACGTACACACTTTTTTTAATGTCTCCTGCTGTTGTTTACTCGAAGTATTGACATCATTATAAAGTTACCTACAGTTAGATATAATTGCCTCAATTGTCTGGTTAGATTATTATTACAATCAATTTTTAATTACATGTTTAGAACAACTATGTAACTGATTGATTGGAAACCTAGAAAACTGTAGGCCCCCCAAGAATTGAGTTTGACACCCCTGTTCCATAAAGAGCCACCCAGTACCTCACAGCTCCAGGGTTCTGGGTTCGATTCCAGTCTTGGCTGTGCTTTTTCTGAGTTTTCCAGACCATGCGCCAGCTTGACACACTCCTCACCAACATGAGCAGGTTCCTGATAATGAATGCATGAGTTCAATACATACTGTAGTCAACTTGGTCCCCTTTTCCCTGACTTAATTAGTGCTTGATAACTAAAAGATTTGGGGACATGTTTTTTTAGTCACTTGCCAAATTGGTCAACCAATTTTATACCTGATGTCAAGTGATTACTATTATCTGTACACATAAGGTGGAAGACTTAGGGAGTATGAGGTAGTATAAGATGTATTTTCAGTATAAATGTTGTTAATAACCTTAGATTGTTCAAAATGACTGCTAGTAAGATATTAGAATGGGATAAAACAACTACCTGTAATTCCAACTTGATTACAAGTATCACTCTCTAGTAGTCTGTTATTTACCAATACTATTGACAAAACGTGACAATAAATAAAAGTTGATCTTACTGCTTTATTGCTGCACTTGCTTACCATGGACATATCTGAGCACCAGTGCCAGAGTAGTGGGTTTCATCATAGTCTGTTCCATACCTCTGCCCTCTCTCTGCTGCCCCCTGCAGGCTTCATGGATCCTATGAGGCCCTCAAGGGAGGGAACACCACGGAGGCAATGGAGGACTTCACAGGGGGGGTGACGGAGTTCTTCGAGATGAAGGAGGCCCCCAAGGAGCTCTTCAAGATCATGAGCAAGGCCCTGGAGAGGGGCTCTTTGATGGGCTGCTCCATTGATGTGAGTCCTCAGTCCTCCTCCTGCAATCTTCCTGCACTGCACTCTTTTTTCCAATAATCAATCCAAACACGCAAATTATCAATTTGATTATCCTATCGACTAGCCTAGTTCGACTGCCACCTCTTTGAGAATTGGAGCTGACCAGCTAGGATTCCACGCAGAAGTCAGGATTCCACTTGGCTTCAAGCGAGAATTTAAAAATAGATGTTAAAACACCCAAATGCCAATTCCCATGCAAGTCACCAGTCACTGTCTTTGTGAAATGGAGATTGGTGCCCTAATTTCCTCTTGAGTTTTGTCTTAGCAAGAGTCTGTAACTGCAGGAGAATTAATGGGCGATTACTGAAATGAAAAAAATGAACATGTTTTAATTGAATAAGTCATATGAGTGGATAAAATTGTTTTTTAATCATATAAATAGCAAAAAGTTAGAAAATGACATTTTGAGTAACATGAGTTAAAGTTGTTGTTTTTGATTTATTATTATTATTATTATTATTATTATTATTATTATTAAGGCATGTTATATCTGAAATGCTTACTTGCATTTGGAAGGGCACACACAAAATGTTTTCTTATCCTGTTTTTGCACCACATCTCTTTTTGTTCTCTGAATCTTTCCTTTCCATGTTCTCTTGCTCTCCTTCTTAATTAACCTCTGTTGTCCAGACTTCAGATGCACCTGAGTCTCACTTGTCCTCATGCTTTCTCCTTGTCTGTCCCTGTTCCTCTCTCTGTCTCTTCAAACATCTCTCATTGTGTATCTCACAATTCAAATTTACAACAACAAACGCTGTTGACATGACTGATTAATTAATGTTTTGCCAAAGCAACACCACTTATCAAGACAATTACAACAAAGCCAAGTTCTCTCTGTTGCTCAGTCTGTGACAGGAGATCACATACTGAGCTGAGTTTCCTCTCATTGTAGGAGTGAAAGCTGTTCTGATTCTGGCAGGTGTGGAAATTTTCAGATTCAATTTGTTATTTTAGAGAAGAGTGTAAGTCTAATCCTAGAGTATTTGTCTTTAAGTGCAGTTGAAAGTCTATCTCCATCTTTGTTTCTTCTTTCTTGCTGTGGTTACTGAGCCTGTCCTCTCTGGACAGCCAGGTCAGCCTGTTTCTATGCCCAGCCTTTAGCCACTGAGTCTGTCTTTTACTGTTTGTGTCTTTCTCTGTGTCCCTCTATGTCTCTCTGTGTCTCACCCACTGCATCTCACTTTCTGACCTCTCTGTCTTCACTCTGAAAGGACACAATGGGGATAACCCCAGGTGTCCCAGCTCCAAATGCTCTTGGCACACTCATTGACCGGATGATCAGCCAGACAGAGGCTGATAAGAGCAAGCCTGGGGAGCCGCCAACAGGGGTTGGTATTGACAACGACACTCCACCTGGCATGGCTGTAGACAGTTCTGTGGCTGCAGTGCTTCTTAGAAACTAAATCAGACTTTCCCAGTAAAAAGAGAAATTAACAATCCCTTATGGAAAAAAAACATAAACCCATTTTCCAATTCAGGATTACAGGGCAGCTGGAGTCTGACCCAGCAAGCAGCGGGCTCAAGGCAGGGTACATCCTGTATGGGACACCAGATACAATCACAGATGCTCACACAGTCACACCAGGGCCAGTTTTCCCTGAAGCCAATTAATCCACCAGTACAGTATGTTTTCGGACTGGGAGAGGGAACTGTAACACCTGGAGCAGAACATACAAATTCCACACAGATAGCACCCCAGGTCCAGAATTGGACCCAGGGCCTCAGCGCTGTGAGGCAGCAGAGCTAAACTCTGCTCCACCATGCCACCCATGGAAACACTAATACATTCTAAAATGGATATCCCTCTGAAACATTTTATACAACATAGATTATGGATGTGTTTAAAAAACATTACAAAGAATCCAGTATATTCTAATTATGCATTACAAAAATCAGACACGGTGGCAATGAATAAGATAGACCCATACTGTATCTTAGATAGACCATGTTGTAGAATATACTGTATACTGCATGTACAGCCAAAATGGCAAAGTAGGTTTTTATACTGCCATAACTGCTGTTCTTGATGTTAATCAGTTTTTATCTACTGAAATGCAGGTCCAGGCAGATGCTAAAACATTGTAAAGCACATAAATGCCTTTTGCTCATTTTAAAACGATGACGGTTGCCTATATAACTGGAGCCATGATTTTGCCGAGTGCAGAGAGGTAAAGTGACTTTCGCTTTCAGTCAGAGGCTGTACCAAGATACATATCTAAATTTAACAATGAATGGAACTTTTCCTGGAATTACTATTTTCCATATCTATTTTAAACAAAAAGCTGCATGCATATAACCATTATCATTTCTTATAAGAACCTCAGCAAGCAGAACCCCTTACTAGAAACAGAGAAGGATGCAAAAATCTACAGTTGTCACAACTGTATTGTAGGTCCTGAGTCACAGATTTGAAACATTTACTGTACATATGTAATCTGTTATCTTCTTTATAAAATTACTTGTACCATGTATGTAATGCTACACATTCATTGTAAATTGTTTACAAATATCATAAATATCAAATTATATTCAGGATTATGCAAGTATATGGTGTAGTACTTTGCAGCCATTTATTAATATTAATATTATATATATTAACATTTATATTAACATTAATAATATAATAAATATTAACATATTCCAGTGTACACTGACATTTTCAACACATGGGTGTAATATATTTTCAAGATGGGATTTTTTCATAAGGGATTCGATAGTTTCTTCAGCACTATATATATGAGAGACCATTCGATTCAAAATTAGCAAAAGTATTGATTTCACAGAACAGACTTTTTTTGTGTACTACATAAATCTTCTCTGCGTGGCTTATTTATTCAATTAATTCCACTTTAGAAGCCTCTCATGCCATTCATATAAAATATGCATGCAATGGTTTGGACTGCATGAGGAATGCCAGTCTCTTAAGACAGAAGAGTGCATATGGAATGCTTTCGCCATTAACTTTTTACATATCTGGAACTCATACAATTCCATAACTTGAGTGATAAAGCTGAATAAGACTATTATTAATATACAGAGCAGGGATATGGGTTTATACAAGCCTTATAGGTAATGGAAAAGCCTTTAAAGCAAAAGGTTAGACTTACTCAAAATACAGACAAGAAGATCATCCAGTATGTAAAGCAGAAGCATCAAAGAATGTTGAAGTTCAAGCCCCAGTTTGAATCTTAATCTTCATACCACCATCCTGTTGTGGATTTCTCACCTTGAATATCTCTGGAGTGGAGGAAACAAGTATTGGGTATGTAATTTGGGATTGCTGGGTGGGCTGAAGGTTTGATTTAATCTAAAACTGTGCTGTCTGTTTAGTATAGTCTTAGCATGATGGTATAATTTAGGGGTTCCCAGCTCTGGACCTTGGAGTCTAGAATCCAGCAGGTTTTTAGTATTTTCTCTTGAAATAATTACCAGCTGAAGACTGTGGAGATGGGATGAACCAGTGCTGGTTATCCCTAATTAGATCTTATTAACATTCCTCCCAGTTAAATGGCACTTTAGATCTTAAGGAGACACAAAAAACTTGCTTGATTCCATACCCTGAGAACCCTGTTATAATGTGTGGTAGATTTTCCAGAGTGCCAAAGACTCTTTTTGTATTTCTTTAAATTGAGCTTTACTGGCCCTGTTGCATGCTTTCTGAAAATCTTTCATTAACCATCTATCAAAAATTACTGTTGATAGTTCCAAGCCTGACTTCAGCTGGTTATGTATTGCATTCCAAACTCAGGCTGTATCTGGTGTCTGGTAAGATGGTTATGTGAACATCACTCTGCAACATGCTCAAGATTGTTCAAGTTCCTAGGGCCAAAGACCTGGCATTTTGGCAGTGTATTTGGGGCTTTTTGGTGCAGAATATTTACTAGGAGGTGTGCCTGAGATATGTAAGTATTGGCTCTGACTGAGAACACCCTGTTCTCAGCAACGTGTTTAGACATTGAGGGATTTTAGTACTGTATAAGTAGTTCATAGTTTAAAAATACAGAATATGTGTACTGTGGACCCTTCATGTGTTCAATCAAGCTCTGGATCATTGCTTCCCAATTTTTTTTAAATCACAATTTAAACAGTTTATTTCAAATTGAAACATAGCTACAATTTCAATGAGAAATATTTAACTTCACTTTTCTGACTTGAATTTCATGTGCAGTGTGATCTTGTTTCGATTAACAGATATTCCATATTTGGTTCAGAGCCAGAAGGAGCTACACATAGCTCCCGATTTGCACTTTTTAAATATAATTCCTTTTTACACACACTTGAGTCCTTTCTGTGGCACACAGTTTGAAAAGCCCTGCTCTAGATAAGTCTTGACAAGTTTATCTCGCGTCAAGGGACAAATTCTCTGCTGTTGCAGGTTAAGTGCAGATAAGGAGTTCAAATTCTGCTTTGGAAAGAGCAAGAGATGTTATATACTGTAAATGCTTTAAGTCTCACTCATGAAATAATAAACAGTGGTTCACTGTCCCTTTGTCTGCTTCTCTACCATCTGCTATTTTTCTCCCTCTTTGTCTCTCTTTTACAGTCACTGGTTCCTGTTCGCTTTGAGACTCGTACTGTCACTGGATTAGTAAAGGGTCATGCTTATTCTGTGACAGCAGTAGAGGAGGTGAGGATGCTTTCGACCTATGGCAAAGTGCGATACACAAGGGCACTTTGACCAACCACTACATCAGACATGAGGAAACTGGGTGCCCTTTCCTCTTCCCCAAATCTTGGGGGTGTCAGCTCTTTCTCCTGCTTTTAAGTGGCTTTTTTCCCCGATGCTAACATCATAATCTGAGGAATGTTTCTAATAAAAACACAAAACACCTTCACTGATAAATCTATATGGTATATATATCGACTGGTATATCAGTAGAAGGAAAGAAAACAGTCATTTCAAGGTGCAACTGTATGTATAATTTATTAAGGCAATACATATATAGAAAAAGTTTCTTTAAAATCAGACTGTTCTGACAATGGGCTTTCTGTGTTACTAAGATGAGGTGACTGACAGTCAAGTGATAAAGTGATATCAGTATTTTCCACAATTATTCCCATATGTCTCCAGGCGAAGCTGGCCCAACAGAAGGAGGGCAAGGTGAGACTGGTGAGACTCCGTAATCCCTGGGGCCAGGTGGAGTGGAATGGACCCTGGAGTGACAAGTGAGTGGCCGAACCCCATTCCCTATTGTTGTGTCAATGGCTTGTTTCTAGAAAGACCAGTGATTTTAAGAAGAACGTAATGAAATTAAGACAAATCCCAATAGAATGCCAAGCACAATATGGAGGAGACAATAACATGTAAGCTGTCACACACTGCACTCTCCCTCGCAAACACTGTTACATTCCCAAACCCACTGTTTCTCATTCCTAAACTGAACCCATCACATTCTCACATGCACCAGATTCCACAAATTCTCACTCCTGGACCAATTATCCAACCACGTACCTTTCCCTTCAGTATTTAAAGTTCCCTCACGCACAAACCCAGCCTCCTGTAGTATTCTTTTGTACGCGTTTCAACCTTCTTGACTGATCTCCCGGTTCCTAATCTTAGTTCCTGCCTTTTTCGACCACGGTCTTTGGATTTTGTTTTTTGGATTGTCTTTCTTGGATTTCCCTGGTTATTCGCTCATTGCTTCTCCAATCGACCTTGCCCCTGGATTACGTGTTTTGGATATTGTCCCTGTGCTACTCCACATTCTGCAGGATTCACGGTTACGCATAAGGATCCTCCTATTCTACCTATCGGTTCCCTGACATAAGCATCTGATCTCTTGGTTTTCTGGATCACACAGGACTAAAAGTAGATCGAAAAGGCAGATACTTCTCCTGTGGATGTTCCAACTTTTTTAGGGAAGGGGACTGTTTTAATATAGGGTGATGTACTTGTGGGAGGGAATAAAAACACTTTTTCTTGGAGTAAGTGGCTCTCTGACAATAGATGATCACAACTGATGAAAAACAGAGGTCAAAAGCATAAGGAATCCCCAACATCTGTGAGGTTTTGCACTCAGGTAGCAGTGGGGAAGCCTATTGGTATTTGCATCAGGATCTAAAGAGTTGGTTTCCTCATGCACTGTACGTTGTACTGTATAACAACAGATGTAACTGTGTAATGCTACAGTAACATCTATTTTTGAACTTTTATAAGCTCTTATAGTGTATTACCTTAAACAACAACAAAATAAATAAAATCACTGATAAACCAGACATTTACTTTTCTTTAGCTCACTGGACTTTCATTAGAACATTGATAATATGAATATTTTCTTTTTTCCCCACGATATCTTTATTTCCTGCTGACTGACTCAAAATAACTGTGTAGCTCCAAGGAATGGGTCACAATTCCAAAGTCAGAGAAGGACAAACTACAACATCAGAGTGTGGAGGATGGAGAGTTCTGGTAAGATGGCTTTCAGAAAGCTCTCACAAACACAAAGAGTTCTGTTTTTATCAGGATTCCCATTTGTTTTAATAGCCCCTGCTAATTTGGCATGGCATTTTACATTCTGAAGCAGACGTTTGAATGATTTAACATAAAAAAACAATGATGCTTTTCCACCATGGATGATCTACTGAACTTGAGTTTACTCACATTTTGAATTCAGTTCATTAAACATAACATAATTCATTCATTTCTGAAAATGAAGTGTTGCTTGAGATTTCACAGGAATGTATTCTATACCTGTTGATTGTGAAAATTGCAGCTTACTAAATGCTAACTCAGGTTAGCATATCTGTGGAGTATACAGTATGCTGGTCCTGTTATTGTCCTGCTCCCTGTCAGTTCCTTGTTTTCAACACTCTGGTATTTTTTGCAGGATTTGCTCTCAGCTGGTTGTCAGTGTAGTTGTCTGATAGTCCAGTAGGCACTTGACAATTAAAGTATGTGTCTCATGAATCTGGGAGATGTTTTGGGTCTCTACATCATTACAGTGGTCATTGGCATGGGTTAAAGGTGAACAGCAATTGAGATAGTTGGACATTTTAAATTAATTAAAAATTGGTCTCTATAGAGGAAAATTTAAATAAGCAGAAGAAAAGATATATAAATTATGCTATTTAATATATTGATACTAGTTGACCATGGTTGTAGTTCTAAGTGTGTTCCACAGTTTAGAAAATATTTTTTAAACTATCAAGCAATACCTTGAAAGTAGTCTTTTGGTCTGGTAAATCATTTTCATCACAATGTACTGTAGTACACTTAAGGGGTCAATGTGTGTGCAGCATTAGCTTGCTATATGAATATTATTTAATCAATGGATTATTTACGTTGAATGGAGAAAGGTGTTCAGTTGCAGCTGCACATTGATGTTAATGTGCTTCATTGAGTATCCAGACGTTCACTGCCTTGTAGTGCTATGTCTAAAAAAATTATCACAATAAAATACATTTTATTGTAATGTCATGCAGAATTATATTGTTCTACTCTTCTACCCAGGATGTCATTTGAGGACTTCAAAAAGAACTTCACCAAGATTGAGATCTGCAACCTGACTCCTGATGCCCTGGAGGACGATAAACTCCACAAGTGGACTGTGTCGGTGAACGAGGGGCGCTGGGTGAGGGGCTGCTCTGCTGGAGGCTGTCGCAACTACGCAGGTACTGTAGGCTGCATCAAAGCATTTGACTCAATCATGGATTCAAATCCTCTAACAGTTAGAACTGAAAAACATACCGTACATCTGCTTAAGAAGTTCTTTGCTCAGAGAGTGCAACATGACCCTGGAAACTCTGACTTAAATCTGTGCAATGTCACTGACCAGCAGTACTGAGGAGAGCCTTAGTGGTAAGGTGGGTGAAAAATGGCAGATGGCTTGTTAATAAACTCGTATAAGTATATGTTGTTTGTCTGCAGCGGTCAGCAGTGTGAGGATTTTGTAGATGAAGCTGAAGAGCAGTTATCTAATTCAAAGTGGTGGATGCAGAAGGGGCAAAACCATTGCTAATTATATATTGAAAAAGTAAACAGTTTATTGTGATCAATCATAGTATTTACTGTACATGGTCAGCTATAGTAATGTACAGAAAACACTTGACAAAACCATAGGAAGGCAATGTGAAAGTACTGGAGATCAATACAGTACAACAATTCCCAACATACCATGATTCTATAACAAAGCCGATCCTTTAACGATATGCCCCCCCCCGCAGACACATTCTGGACAAACCCACAGTACCGTCTGCGGCTTATGGAGGAGGATGATGACCCCGACGACAATGAGGTCGCCTGCACCTTCGTGGTGGCACTTATGCAGAAGAACCGCAGGAAAGAGCGCAAGATGGGTGCCAACCTGTTCACCATTGGCTTCGCCATCTATGAGGTTTAGACTTTCATGTACATAACCTACATACCACACATACTGTAGCCCTGCAAGCTCACACACATATTGCCCCATGCGTGCTGTCTGTATTACTGCAGACAGGCAGACACTGATGAAGACACAGGCAGGCAGCCAGTGCACAGACCCACACATAGCTGCTACTGTACATACTCCGTCACAGTATCACTGCTCACAAACCCTGTGGGTATCACTGGTGTTTCAGGATCTTCTACAGACAGAAACTACAAACACCACTCTAAACATCTTCGATGCCTTATTCTGTATTTCATTTAAATTCTTATTGTTTACATAAAATCCACATATTGTACAAACTGCCTTCTGACACATCCTGTGCTGTTTATTAAAAATACACCTAAGAGCTGATTATACCTTGGACTAGGACTGGCATTAGGGTCTGGTTTTCAGATGAATAAGGATTTTGGGATAAGGATAATTTTAGAATTAAGCCAAGGGTTGGAGTTGTAGTGAACTAATATTTACAGTTAGGTTTGAATGGCTAATAATGCTAAGTTAGGGTGGGGAATAGGATTTAATGATCTATGTACTGTATACTGTAGAACAAGGGATAAAGTTATGAAAAAAGTAAAGTGGAAGAGTTGGTAAAGCAGAGAACAATATTCTGAAAAGTAATTATTTCTCACATTGCAGATATCACTATAAATTTATCTGAAAAAAATAGAAAATATTACATCTAACAGAACTTCATTACACAGTTTTCTTTACTGACACCAGTGAAGACAACTTTTTCCACAGTTACATGCACCCTCTCTCTACAGTTTCTTACTTGTTTTTTATCCTGGTTGATCACTGATCACTGACACTGAAACAATTTAGTGCCACACTGGTCATCTGAGCAGGAAAAGTAATCTTTTTGCTCCAGAGTAAAATTTCCCTCCCATCTAAAGTATTTGTGGACATCTAAAGATGCAAAAGCGATGTGGGTGTGGAAATACATGTAGAATAGGAGGGGTAACAGTGTAAAATAGTTTCTTGGTAACCTGTCCTGAAGTTGTTTGTTTTCTTCACTTGTTCTTCCTCAGGTGCCAAAGGAGGTATGACAGTGTGAAGAGGAGAAGAGTACTAGAAGAGTACTAGCTCTACTGCTGGCAGAATAATGCTCTACTGCTGGCAGAATAATGCCAGAATAATGCAGGATAATATAGGTGCTGGTTTGCTGTGCAGACTGACTTTAGTCAACTAAATTCCACGTGCAGCAATTTAATCCTTCTCCCTCTCCCCTCTCCCCTCAAGTCTCAGCTGCAAATTTTCTGTATCCTATTTTTGTGGATTTAAAGGATGTACTGTAATTCACCCTTACATTTTTTTAATGAAAACCGAGATAGGGGTTTCTCTGCATTCCAGGAGAAGGATTTGAATGAATAAAACCAGGACAGAAACAGCATTAAAAAAATTGCAACAAAGGCCCATTTTCACAACATTTTACTTCATTGCTGTACCATGGTTGTTGATACAATTCATTCAAATTTATCACCAAAGCTACCTCACTGGCAAAACATCAACCATTGTGTCAGAATAGAATCATGTTCAATTGTTTTGCCTGTTATTTCCACCACTTCTCCAAAAATCCTGCATTAGCGTTTTCATTTAAAAATCCCTTTTTTAAAATCATCAATGCCTGCATAGCTTACATCATATCATAGTTGGTTCTGCCTTTGATTTCCAGGAGTAAGTTTAATACTTTTAAACAATTGAAAAAAATAAGCCCGTGTCTAGACCCAAAGGTCTCTTTTGACGTTGCTCCTGTACAGCTTTTTTGGTCTGAGTCTTTAACACGGCAGCAGCTTCCTTCTTCCTCCCTGGCTGCTGCTTTCTCCACCACTCCTCCTTCCTCCTCTTGCAGATGCACGGCAACAAGCAGCACATGTCCAAGGACTTCTTCCTGTACAACGCCTCAAAAGCCCGCTGCAAGTCCTACATCAACCTGCGCGAGGTGTCCCAGCGCTTCCGCCTCTGCCCAGGCGAGTACGTGATTGTCCCCTCGACCTACGAGCCCCACCAGGAGGGAGAGTTCATCCTCCGCGTCTTCTCTGAGAAGAGGAGCACCTCAGAGTGAGTGGCCCCCCCTGTCCCTGGCAGGGTGTGGAGGGGGAGAGTCGCAGGGTGTAGGGGTCACTGCTACGCAGGAATCTAGCCATTTAGGGGAAGGGGGGGCACAATGGGACAATTTTATAATCACCCAGGTCTGGTTCCCTTATAGCAGCAAAACAATGCAACTACAGTTAGAGGCCATGGACAGAGTGGTGTTCAAACACAGAGCTACTCTATGTTCCCCTGGCTGCGACTGGTACCATATCTATCATGTTGATGTGACAAACCCTTTTGACTTGTTTGTGAAAACCAGGAAGCATTGAATAACAGAATCATGGAAAAGCTATTTTTGACAACTTCATGATTTGTTTGTGCACTCAGATGACTCAGAACCAGCTGGAAATTAAGACCTCAGACAGATCTTTACAGAGTCACAGAAAGCACTTACTGTAGATTAGGTAATTGACTTGAAATCTTAAAAGGTCAGGATTGAAAAATACATCAATCCAATAAAATATAGATCATGGGAAATATGGAAATATTCAGGAGTTTCAGCAAGGGCAACAAATTTTAGATGTAGAGAGACTTTTAGCGGTGCCTGTATTTCTGTACAATATTCTGGCTTTATTGCAGTGCTACTCAAATTGCAGTGTATCAAAAAGTGAAAACTTACTGTAAATATTCTAACTGTTCAAAAGTGAGCTGTTGTACCCTTGGATATTTGGAGGACCTTTTGTTGGTAAAATCTTTAAGGCATGTTCTGTGTAGCATTTTAATTCTTAATTCACAATTAAGACTAATTGCTTTCACCATGGGTGGCACAGTGGTACTGCGATTATCGTTGTTGCCTTGTAGCACAGGTGCCCTGGGTTCAATTCCTGGGGTGCTATCGGTGTGGAGTTTGTATATTCCCCCTATGTTTGTATGGTTTCCTCCCGCAGTCCAAAGACATAATAGTAGGTTAATATTCATCTGTACAATTGGCCCCAGTGTGAGTGTGTGCCCTGCAATGGACTGACATCCCATCCAGGGTGTATCATTTCTTGCGCCTGTTGCTTGCTGGGATAGACTCCAGCTCCCCTGCAACTCTCAATTGAATAAAGAGGATAGAAAATGGAAGGATGGCACCACTCTGTTACGGACAGGGTCTGCAGTCCATGTCATGTTTTGTAGTAGACCCTATGCGATGGGATAAGAGCTGGAGGAAACACGAGGTGTGGTACGGGAAAACACACAGTGGTTTAATGGTGCACAAAATAATAGTGACAGTCCATGAGACAGTGAGCGGGGGAGACAAAGATTGGCACCCAAATCCGAGCCGGTCCGAAGGAGGGTCAGGGCACAGTCCAAGAGTCCATTAGCAAAAGATCCATCCTAAGACATGACAAGGTTAAAATCCCTGGGAATGGGGAAAACACGAACAGACAACCAACATGGAGATCCTGGGATAACGGGGCAAGGTCCTCCAGACCCCGGGCTCAGAACACAGGAGGTGTCGGGGATGAGGCCTATTCCCCTTAGGAGACGGACATAAGGTATCCTGGTGCTAGGTGGCCCTGGTGACATCCTAATGTTGAGCCCTGAGCCCTGGAGGAGATAAGAATAAATAGGGGGAGACACAACAAGGCACACCTGGAACACATACAAACGATCATAGGGAACTATTGACAGAAGTAAAATGGAGAGCCCTCTCGGGGAGGGATGTCAACCGTAACACACTCTTCATCATGCAAATAATAATTAATAATAATAATTGCTTACACTTATATAGCGCTTTTCTGGACACTCTACTCAAAGCGCTTTACAGGTAATGGGAACTCCCCTCCACCACCACCAATGTGCAGCATCCGCCTGGATGATGCGATGGCAGCCATAGTGCGCCAGAACGCTCACCACACATCAGCTATCAGTGGGGAGGAGAGCAGAGTAATGAAGCCAATTCATAGATGGGGATTATTAGGAGGCCATGATTGGTAAGGGCCAATGGGGAATTTGGCCAGGACAATGGGGTTACACCCCTACTCTTTTCGAGAAACGCCCTGGGATTTTTAATGACCACAGAGAGTCAGGACCTCAGTTTTATGTCTCATCCAAAGGACGGTGCCTCTTTACAGTATAGTGTCCCCGTCACTATACTGGGGCATTAGGACCCACATGGACCACAGGGTGAGAAACCCCCTGCTGGTTTCACTAACACTTCTTCCAGCAGCAACCTTAGTTTTCCCCAGGAGGTCTCCCATCGAGGTACTGACCAGGCTCACACCTGCTTAGCTTCAGTGGGTTGCCAGTTGTGAGTTGCAAGGTGATATTTTAAGGCATTTGCCCTTTGGTCCAAAACTGATTTTAGAAAGTTTTAGATTTAATTTCACCTGAAGTCCCTACATCTTTCACTAAGCTGTTATGAGTTATCTGACTGCACAGGGTTTTCAACTCCAACTTAATGTCCTTCACATGATAAAATATAATAAGCTTACTAAAATATATTGAATTTTAACATAATAGTGGTCAGTCAAATGCAGTCTTGGCCACTTCTGAGATTTCTGCTATGATTATTGTCATATACAAAATCCTGCCCCCACCCCACTGCAAAAATGTTTTGTCCCATTTTGTCCTGAAGAGCTTTGTCTCATATAAGGGTGTCGTTGTGGATTTTTTTTTGTTGCTTTGTCAACTCTTTCTATCACATTTAACACCTTGAGTATGTTTAATAAGTAGTTAGTATTTTTATTATGAGGGTTGTACAAAAGTTGTAAGGGAGCAACTTCACAGAGCTACAAATGCAGAGTAGAAAATCTTTCTATAGCTAAAATTATTTCTGCTTCCTTTTTATTGATAGCTACAGTATCTGTTTTCTTTTCAGAAGAGATCATTGATACACAAGGCAAGATTCTAAATTTTGGTGGTGTAAAATATTTTTTATAGCTTAATAGCTTTCCTTTGCCTTTCCAACAGTACCATTGCTGTGTTTGTCAGGATTGGTTCTTTGTGATTGGGTCAAAGCCTTTTCTGTCATTCATTTTTGGTTTGAGGTGTTTTTTGAGCATACATCAAGTCATTCATACCTTCTAAAAGGTGTGTTTTAAAATATTGCATCTGTATCTACTTGATTGAAGTGACACTGTACCAAAAGATGTCCTGAACAGTATTATCACACAGAAATCATGCTTTGGTCTTTTCACAAAGCCATAAAGACATTTCACTAAAACTCATACTTAAAAGTCCCAGATGAGGAAGATTAGAGTTGATAAAATAGTATGTTTTTTACCTTAAAAAATGCAAGATGGTTATTTGTTGGCCTGTATTTAGGCAAAGTTATGTGTAGGTTGGTGAGGCTGTTAAAGAATCCCCTCATTGTGGGAATACAAACTTGTTTCAACCATGGTTTGGTTCCCAAACTATTGTTTTGGGTGGGTATCTGGGGAGATAACAAGGACAAACAATATTAACAAGAATTTAATTTGTAGAGTTGGAAGAAAACGATCCCAGTTCGAAGCCGTTATGGAATCTTTTTTAGGACAAGTGACTTCAGATTCGGGCATGCAGTGGTAAACATTTTGTTCCAGTATTAACTCTCCTGGCTCAGATTCCTTCTGGACCTCAAACAGGACCTGACATGCCAAACTCCTTGCGGTCCATACCTGTCCTCCAAGCTTCACTTACTTCCTGTGACTTGTCATCTAAAACTCCCAAGTTTTAATTTCCTAAAAATGTGCTTGTCTTCAACAGTTTTAGCATGTGTAAAAAGCACAGCACAGGTAAGTACCTTTCAAGGCACTGTAAATACATTGCAAAATAAGCAGACAGTTACCCTATCAGGCCCTTCATTTTAGTAGGGAGTCTCATTGGGAGAAAGGGTATTCCGTGCTTTGTTAAACCGTTTAACTCTTTGCACACCTGCCTCCCATCGGGTTCAGCTTTTCACCTGTCTTGGACTTCTGACAGCTCCTATTTAGAGCAAAGAGCTCACAATAATGTTCAAAAACAAACTGAGAAAATCATGCAGCAACTGATCAGTATCTTATCCACAGGCCAGTCCCACCCTTGTTGTGTTACCTGCAGGACAATGTGCCCAATGAACATACCTGTTATTAGGAATTTTGTGAGGTGATGACGGAGGTGGGGGTATTATTATGAGTCAACTGTTGTCACTGAAATGTGTTGTGTTTTGTTTACTGGGGATACTGTCCATCCATACACACATTTTCTAACTGCTTTATACAGGGTCACAGGAGAGCTGGAGCCTATCCTAGCAAGCAATGGCACCCCAGACAAGACACCAGTCCATTACTGAGCAGACACACACACGCTCACACTGGGCCAGTTTTCCCAGTAGCTAATTATGTAGCTAATTAACCTATTTTTGGACTTACTTTTGGGGAAAAAAAACAGAGGGAACATGCAAACTCCACAGACAGACAACCCCAGTAATTGAAACCAGGGCCCCAGCGCTCCAAGGTACCACCCTGCCCCCCTGGGGGTACAAGGTCATTTGCAATTCACTAGTAACAATGAAATTGGCAATGAGACCATCTAAAGGTTCAATCAGTTAAAACACTGGACACTGGAATAGCTGGGGCTGGGACTGTGGAAACTGCGGCTCAGGGAGATCGAGGGTTTAGGATGTTGAGAGTGACAGCGTGGCCCTGGCCCGGTTCGGCCTGCTTTGACTGCTTTGAAGTGCCATGGTGCTGACTGTTGTTTACTACTTTTTACTCAGGGAGATCGAAAACAGGATTGAAGCCGACCATCCAGTGGTGAGTACTTCCCTTACTCCAGTACTCTCTTCTCTTCTTTTTCAGGACAGAGCAGAAATATTGTCCTCACAGCTTATCAGCCAAGAAAATGTCAAAATGTCTTCATTTTGTCCAGCACAGTCCAACTCTTTAAATTCGGGAAACAGATTGATGGTGTGAGATAGAGTAGAATGTGACATTATACAGTATATATTTGGGAGGTTGGCCTCTTTTTTTTTGAGTGATTTCTTTGGCAGAGGTGTTTATTCATGTGGCTTGCATGCCATTCATAATGAGACAGGGGTAGAGCTCTCTTTTGAAAAAGGACAATGTCCACAGAGCAGGTCATGAAAATAATCCTGTGTTCTTTTTCTCAGGAGAAACTTGTTTGAAAATAATAACTATTACATAAGCCTTAGCTCTATGCCCTAACATGATTGTAAATACAGTAGTAATCATTGGCTTTGTTCTCTCTTTTTTTTCTGGTGTCCCTTAGACACCCAAGAAAAAGCTGAAGGTATGTGTACTAGCATGCAAAGTGTGGTCTGGTGTGTGCACTTGAGATGTCTTAGAAATAAATCAAAGTGGCGAATCAACCAATATGAGCTTATTATATTAAATTCAAGCAGCATTTACAAGCACCTCCATATTTCAGCCTTCCAAGTGATTTGAGTGGTTCATCTAATGGTTTGATCATTCGTAAATGCCAGCTGAAAAAAAAAATTGATTTGTCAACACACAAATTCAGCTCCACCTGGGGTTCTGACTGCTTTTATGGCTTCATTTATCAAGACCAGTGCAAGTTACACTGGCTCCTGCCCAGGAATTGCCATACTGTAGACACAGTTGTTGATGAGTTACTGCCAGAGTGTAAGTACCCTTCTCAGAAGCATAAGGTCACACACAGTGATTCCATTATGTCAAATGGCTAAGGCCACATGTGCTCCAGACTAAATGCAGAGCCTCACCAATGCAGGCTAATTCTGCCATCTGTTGGCATATTTCTGTATCATATGGCAATAAAGCATCATTTGCATAATGGCAAGAGATGTTTACCAGTTTCTTTGTAGACCTTAAGTTACAAATGAGAGGAGGCCCTTCTGCCAACAGACCAATTCGGTAGTTTGTAGTTAGTTGTGATCCATTTAATAATTATTTAAATAAAAATTGTGTTCACCACCTTTATATATCAGAATGTTCAAAAACATGTTACATCATTAAATGCATTCTGAATGCAATATTTAAATAGAAATCAAGGAATGTAAACCTTACCACCAAGCTGTCCTACTGTAATATTGTGTCATTGCAAAATCAGCTATACTCATGTGAAAAATACGAAATGGGAATTTTAGAAGTTCATTCAAAATAGTCTTTTGCACTGGAGCAAAAATTTGGCTGGAAATAGTTTTATTTACTGTGAAGCATGAAAACCACAGCAAATGCTATTTTCTTTGCTCTTGGTAGGTGTACAAGTGCAATGAAATGCTAATAACATACCTCATACTTCATATGCTCACACACACTCTCAGATCCAAAGTTCTTGTTTTTGAACTGTGGCAATTAAAAAGAGAGCAATTACAAAGTTTTTATCACGATGTCCAAACACATGTTAAAGTACTGTAATGTCTGAAGAACTACCCTATCAGGCTATGCTAACAATAAGTGAGGACCTTGAGTGTATTTTAACGAAAGAAAAAGCATGTCTGAATAGTGTAAATACAAAACAGTGACCTATAATGTGAAGCTCATATCAGAGTGTTTAGAGCTAAAATCAGTGGGTGTGTGTGCCTTAAATGATGTGCTTTAGTCATGTCCAAGTCCAATTAGTGATTTGTGTTGGACAGAATTTGTATAGAGTGAAATAACAGTAACTCTGGAACATGTTCTGAGCATAAGTAGACCATTAAACTGTTCAATGTTGGATTTTTGTAAGGTATTACAGCCCATAATGCTTTTTGTGCACGCTTTCTTACATATCAAAATGCACTCCTTATGTTGAAGAGTAAACAGATTAAATCAAATGCTGTGCACCCAGAATGCACTGAAGCAGTGATTTAAAAAACACAAATCAGTAGATGTGCCTGTGTGTCTGGGAGTTGTTTTGTGCCAGAAGTCAACATCATGTTTTCTGACTCCAAGTAACCCATCCCTGTCCTATTCCTCCCCCAGCCCATCATCTTTGTTTCTGATAGAGCTAATGCCAATAAGGAAATAGAGCCCGAGAGCTACGTGCATGAAGAAGAGGAAAAAAAGGATAAAATGAAGGTTTTTTTTTTCCTGACAGGGGAAGGGGGGAGAGCTTTGTGAGATCTTCACTGTCTCTGCTCCCCCTGTGACACAGATTTACTGTCAGCCTAGAACCAAACCATGCCTTGAGTCACATATCTTGGACACAGAAAGAAGCATCTGATTCCCCAATGTGCAGACAAAGGTCAGAGGTTACCAGAGTCTTGACATCTAAAGGTGCTTTACTTTTTCTTTACTGCAATTGCACTAATGCCATTGCGATACATTGTGAGGTGTAAATCTAAAACCAGACATTAGGATGTAACAGTGGCAGAAAGGAGAGATTGAAAGATTTAATAAATAGGATTATTTCTAAGCAATGCACAATCACAGGTTTGGTTCTGAGGCACAGTTCAGCATCTTTTACCCTGCTGGCATGGTCTTGGGAATGAGGATAAAGCAACAGACTCTGAGTGCTCCAATACAGGAATCTGTGACTGTTCCTTGGCTTTGATTTGTTTTTAGAGCGCATGCATGTGTTCGGCAAGGAAGGCAAGCTGAGGGTCCTACAATACACTAGACGAATTAAGAGCCTCTCTATGTACTGTAAATACACCATACTGTGATAGTAACACTGTTTGGTTAATGTAATACACAATGTTTAAAATAACTATACTGAAGATGTAGAATATACAATATAAAACACTCTTCAATCTTTCTGACAATTTTCTCAGAAGACTTTCAATAACTATCACAGTTTGTGTTAGGTGCACAGTACGATATTGATCAAATACGTTTAGAATTGTCCTGAATTATTTTGTCCACAAGTTGTGTAACTGGGTGAAGTTCACAACATGACTACTTAGAAGGGTTAAAAACTTGCATGAAGCTGGCACCAGGTCCTGGATATTGCACAACTTGATAATACAATAGGCAGCTTTTAAAACCTGGCATAGGATGTGTTGCTACTGTATGTCGGTTTGGAATGAAGAAAAACCTGGAGAGGCACGGGTAAACATTGTAGTGGTAGTACATGAATAAAGCCCTATGATATTAAATCAAAGCACCATGACATACTGTAGCATGTCAGAGCTGGAAGACAATGCAAAGTTGACTGCAAAGCATGGCATGGTGGGGCACAGAAAAGAAATCACAGCAGGGTACAGTGCTGTATGAGGGTGCATGAGTGAAGCACGGCTGAATTCGTGGTACAGTAACAAGTGTCGAGATGAGATCACAATGTACTGCAAACCTTAATATTGTGAGTGGTGCACAGGGAAAGTATGTTGTATGCATCTGCAGGAGCAAATTTCTGAATGAATTTGCAGGATCATTACAGCAGGCAAGGCCTGTGCCAAAGAAGTAAGAATCCTCTCTATAGAATTGCATTCGTAGTCTTAAATTTGAAGACCAACAAGAGAAATAATAGCTTTTTATGTGCCCCAGTTTTTTGTGAATGCAAAATTACTGTTAAGGAAAAGCGGGCTTTTGTATAGTCTTTTCTTTATTTCAGTTTTCGACCCGATTTTGCAAATGACACCTTTGTACATTAAGTGGATTTTCACCTAAAGAAACAACATTGTTGCAGGACAAAGAGATTATCATGTGTATCTGGTCATTTCTCTTGTGTTTTTTATGTTGCATATAAGACAAAACACATAGGTTGTGTCCGGCATCTACCAGAAGAGATCTTTATCACCCACCTCTTCTATTAAATAGGGTGGTTTTGCTGGGACTTCCTGAAATGTGAAGCCTGTTCAACTGTAGCAGCTGAAGGGAGGCTAAGGCTTCTGTTCTACCACTAGACCACATTTATAATCTTTTCTTCCAAAGTGTTTATTAGCGCTGTTTTCCTTCCCTATAGAAAACAACGCTATTCAACTGCTGTTAAGCACTTAAATGATCCTGAAAAAACTTTGAATCATCAGGCATTTTTAATTCCTCTTGTGTTAGAAAGCTGTTACGTTGGTAATACCATTAAACTCTAATTGGACAGTAACTCTGATGTCACTTTAAAAAATGTCCCTTGTCCCAGGTAGTGTGTAGGTCAGGTGTTAAAGCATTGATTTTTCTTGGGCAGATTTTCTATTTAAGCCACTTATAGAATATAACATCAATATACATGATGGATTTACCACAAGTTTGCTATTACTGTCACTTTTCCTAAAAGTAATAAAATATACAATACATGAAAATTCCAATGAGGTAACTCACAACACATATGGTTTATTTTATCGATGCTTTGTGCCTGTTTTTGAGACCATTAGCCTGTGTCGTTTCAATAAAAACACTACCACACTACCTGAAAAGTCCATTTTGAGTAGCAGAAAACGTTTCATTAATTATAGCAATGCTTGGCACAGAATCTATCTCCTTTGGTCAACCATTTTATTTGATTTCCCTCATAGAAAAGCAAACAGACGTACTGCATGTATGTCCGCAACTCCTTGGCTACGGAGAATTTTCAAACCGAATGTAGCAATGATTGAGGGCGCTGAAAGTCATGCATGTTCCTCACTCTGTGCACACAATTTGTGAATGAAGGCATCAAAATTAGGAGCTTCATAATATTCCAACATATTTCCTGATATTACAACAGAACTCAGCTATAAGGCACCATGAAACTTAAATGCATATGGCTGTTATATATTGTCAGATGAACTAAACATTTTCTTTGGATGTTGGCGTGGACAAAATCTAAAAATGTCTGCATGTTTGCATGTTGCTGTCAAGCAGGCTCCTGCACTGAGATCATAGTGCATTCATCCTGCACGCTCTCTCTCTGACACCATTTCCTTTTCCCCACAGCCAGCTCCTGCTTCAGCAGGAGAGGAGACTGAGGAGGACAGGCAGTTCAGGACCATCTTCCAGCAGATTGCCGGAGACGTGAGTACCGAAATGTCTGTTCTCACATTGCAGAAATCAGGCGAAGACAGACTGAGCCCCTGACAAACACAAATGCTTTCATGGTGCAACATGTTCTGGTTGGAGATTTGAGCTATGAATTGCTTGTGTCTTTATGGTTGTTTTTTTATTTTTAAGTGCCGGCATTTTAATGCATTTAATTCACCTGCTCTAGCCATGTACCATGTTACCATGTAAACAAAGTGTTGATTGATTTAATTCTCTTGTTGTTACTGTAATTTCGTTTGTCTGAAATGCTTTATGCTCTAGGAATTATATTAGTATTGCATTAAAAGTGTTGGATATGTTAACACATTTTGTGTTTATGGGCTGTGAACTCTATCTCCTTTTACACGCATTAACTGACCTGATTTGCATTCTCTTTCAAGGATATGGAAATAACAGCTAATGAGCTCAAGAACGTGCTCAACAGGGTGGTTGCAAAACGTAAGTTCATTCTACATTTCTGTCATAGTTCTAAAAGGCTGTTGTTCTCAGGCTTGGAACTATTAAGCCATGAATAAGAGAAAGACTAGTGTTACGACTGTTGATGTTCAGGACAAGGGCTGATCAATAATTCTCTTGGGCAATTACAGTACTTCACTCTTCTTTTTTTGACCAAATAATTTCTGCTGTATTAAATGAAGAAATACATGTTGACAATATCCGTTGGGATCTTGGCATCACAAAAGAATCTGGAGCATTTCAAACTGTGGAGTGAATACTTCCTGCCAACTGGCTAGAAAGAGAATGACAAACATTGCAAAATGATACTTCCAGAGTGCTGTGCCACAATAAAAGCATTAGAAGACATACTGTATATTTTAACACATATTGGAATACATATGAGAAGTTACAAGCAATAGGAAGCCACTGAGACCATTAAAATCATTTGGCAGATGCTATTTAAGTTATGTGAGGATCCTGTGCTTTTTCACAACAGACTTTGTGTATTTTTTTTTTACAATGGAATTGTCAGTCAGGAGTAGCCTTGTTTTGAGCAGATCACTTTTTCTCTCTGCAGACAAGGAGATGAAGACAGAAGGCTTCAGTCTGGAGTCGTGCAGGAGTATGATCGCTCTCATGGATGTATCCTTGTCGTCACTGCATTCACCACCATTTTCAGGGGCTTATGATTACGTTACCACACCACACATGTACTGTAGTTTCTGATCTTGGTTTCCAGAGGTCATGTGGCTTTCTCTCATGTAGTTCACGTGAACTTTCTCTCCTGTCTTCTTGAAATAATTGGCTCCAGAATTCTCATTATATTTCATTGTCTGTCTGTGGCCACGGTGGTCCATGAAAATGGCACTGCTTTTTTCCCTATGTACTTATACTGTATATGTGTACATTGCATGTCACAATTTCTCCAGTGACCAACCAGCCTGGTATCAACCACAGTCTTTGCTTAATCGTATAAAAGGAACCGGAGTGAGAAAATGAGCCAGCTGTTAAGGTGGTTAGACAGCCTCATAGCAGCCCAAGCTGATGTGGGTATGCAATTTAAGATGCAGGATCGGAGTTGACCAGATTGGCTGAGGAAACCAGAGGTGGGTCAGGAGGGCTATCACCCACCCATCAAGAGGTGAAATGAGAGAAAGGAATACAATTAGATGAAAGGAAGAATCTGAATGCTGGGAAAGAGGGATAATGCTTTCTGGATTTACACATATTCAGAGAAGATCAGATGTTGTATCTTCCTTCCCCAATTTTTTGTTTAAAGAACGTCAATCAAAATAACAACGTACAATACAAATTTTACATAAGCAGGGCTCAGCCTGAGGCCTCTCACTCTCTGACTCCATTAGTGAAAAGTGTTACTGGTCCTAACTCTGTTCCCTACAGACTGATGGTACAGGCCGGCTAAACCTGCAGGAGTTCCAGCACCTCTGGAACAAGATCAAGCAATGGCAGGTAACAGCACTTCTGGCTCTAGCATTTAACCTACAGTACTAATGAACACGGCTCAAGGCTCATTTCAGAGGGGGCAGTCAAAAGCTGGAATGCCCAATCCATTGTATTGCATATGGGTGTATGATTGGTAGATCAAATTATTAAGTTCAGGAACATTGATTTATTTATAATTATAATTGCTTACACTTATATAGCACTTTTCTGGACACTCCACTCAAAGCGCTTTACAGGTAATGGGGTCTCCCCTCCACCACCACCAATGTGCAGCATCCACTTGGATAATGCGCCGGGAGCCATAGTGCACCAGAACGCTCACCACACATCAGCTATCAGTGGGGAGGAGAGCAGAGTAATGTAGCCAATTCCTAGAGGGGGATTATTAGGAGGCCATGATTGGTAAGGGCCAATGGGAAATTTGGCCAGGACGCCGGGTTACACCCCTACACTTTTCGAGAAACGCCCTGGGATTTTTAATGACCACAGAGAGTCAGGACCTCGGTTTTACGAAGGACGGCGTCTTGTTTATTACAGTATAGTGTCCCCGTCACTATACTGGGGCATTAGGACCCACATGGACTGCAGGGTGAGAGCCCCCTGCTGGCCCCACTAACACCTCTTCCAGCAGCAACCTTAGTTTTTCCCAGGAGGTCTCCCATCCAGGTACTGACCAGGCTCACACCTGCTAAGCTTCAGTGGGCTGGCAGTTGTGAGTTGCAGGGTGATATAGCTGCTGGCTATTTAATTAAGAATTTGGCTTTCAGGTTTGATAGGGTAGTGCAACAGTTCATTTTGCAACCTTGTAGCTATTGGGATTTGGGTAAGGTTCCTGTGTTGAATTGTTTTTCTTGTGACCATGTGGGTTCTGAAAAGGTGTTCCTTTGTCCTCCCATAGTTCACAGACATGTTGATTGGGTTAAACAGGATCTGTATTTAAGTCCTGCAATGGGCTGAAAATAGATGTGTGGGTGGTTTTGGCTTTTCTACTTATAGTCATTTGGAAGTTGAACTGAACTTGAAGTATATTTTTTTCAAATAAATCTGCAAAGTATCTTCTGCAGATAATGTTATAGAACTATGGATTTACAACCATCATGTTTGTAAATTACTATTGCATGCACCATTAAAAGAATAACTTTCCTTTTGAGATGGTCCTTAGGTAGATAAGGACAAGCCAAAAGTCTGCCATCAAGAGAAAATCCCAACCTGCACTGTCAAAGAGGTCAATGCTAATGAAGTGAATGTTGTTCTTTGCTTCCAGGGAATTTTTAAACACTATGACGCTGACCATTCTGGAACTATCAACAGTTATGAGATGCGCAACGCTGTAAATGATGCCGGTGAGAGGACAGGGGGCTTGCATATGTCTAAGTATCTGTGTACCGAGAGCACTGTGTTGTGTGCTACAAAAGTGCAATCGCAATGAAGCATGTATAGTAGTTACTGAACATAAAATCTGATGCAAACTGGGAGGTAAACATAGTTAATATGTTGCAGTTGTTCACCAAATTTGTTTGCTCCGACATTTTCAGCTTGTGGTGTTTGGTATGTATTAGTTCTATAAAAAATCATCTTTCATTCCACCTCACAGATGGGAGACGTGAAGTACCTTAACAAAGCAAATGCTGCACATTTCCCTCTCTTCTACCCCTCCCAGGCTTCCGTCTCAACAACCAGCTGTATGACATCATCACGATGCGCTACGCCAACGAAAACATGAATATGGACTTCGACAGCTTCATCTGCTGCTTGGTCAGGCTGGAGGGGATGTTCCGTAAGTGACCCCTGTCAAACCCGACATCCCCCCCCTAGAGGGCGCTCCACTGCTCTCATTATTGTCCTTGTGCTTGTTGTGCTCCCCAGGTGCACCCTCTTAGCTTTAGTATTTAAAGACTTTCGGACTGTACCCTGACCTGCCTTTGGACCCGTTTGGATTTGGATGCCGTTCTTTGTCTTCCCCGTTCACTGTCTCACAGATTGTCACTATTATTTTGTGCACTATTAAACCCCTGTGTGTTTCATTTTACCACGCCTCATGTTTTCCCCAGCTCTTACGGCATCGCATAGGGTCTACTACAAGACCCGACACGGATCTCAGTCTGTGTCCTTGACAACCCCCTTCCCACCACACAATGAGATCTCTGGTCTGGGTCTCCATTCTGATCAAATATTCTCTATTTTCCTAGGAGCGTTTCATGCCTTTGATAAAGATGGCGATGGAATAATCAAACTCAGTGTGTTGGAGGTAAGCAGAAAATATGGCTATAGCAATTTCTAGAAGTACAGCTAATCCAGCTCATGGAGTATCGTATTTTTATTACTGGGGTCTTTTGAAAAACAGCTTAATATGGTCTACTGTATATAGTAAAACTGCAGACAAAGTGAAAAAATGGTTATACCCAATAGCCCAATTTACAATTACAAATTTAGCCAGTCTGAGTCAATGTGAGAGCCTGTACATGTACTCCTTCAAAATGTTGAACACACCCCTGCCTCTCTCAGCTTTAATAATAGAGACCACTCCAGGTATTTACATCAAGCCAGAACGTCATTAATTTAGGTAAAGCTCTCACTTGCAGCTTTCGTTGAAAATGCTTTCGTTGACATGGACCTGCTTGGCAACAGCCTGTAAAGCAGAGGTCAACAATCTGGTTCTGGTGTGCTGGTGTGTCTCCAGATTCCAGCTGGGGTAATAACAATCTGAATCATCTTATTATTCGCTTAATTGGACCAGTTTCGTGTCTTTTCATAGCTCTTAAGGCACTGGTGCTTTCAAGACACCTAGACTTACTGACACCCAGGACCAGGACTGGGGACCCCAGCTGTAGTTGATGTAGTGCCCTTCTTGTGACTCTGGATGTGTGTTTTTTTGCAGTGGCTCCAGCTGACCATGTATGCCTAGAGGTGAACTCCTGCATCAGCGGCAGTAGGTGAGCTGGGCTCTCCGAACACTTCTGACGACAGATGGCACCAGCCTTTACCTCATTTTTTAACAGCACCAGCCTCAGCTGTGCCTCAGACTCTCCCTCCCTTCCCCTTCCTGCTTCGCTCACTGCAGACCCAGCACGTTTCTTTTCTCCATCATATACCTCACACGGGCAAAGCCATTGCCACCACTGCCCTCTGTCATGCTTTCTTTCTTTCCTCTGTGTGACTAGATCCGGGACTCGGTTTCTTTAACGAGCACCCATGCACTGCAGGCCCTGTATGACTTCCAGTCTAAACCTTAAACATTGCTCATCTGGAAGAAGAATCCATCTCCATCTGCCTTTTTAAAGAGCTAAGGAGTATACAATTTAGTTGAAAATGCTTTCGAAATACAATTTCTGCTTTTTTATTCTTGTGAACTGCTGTCAATAACCATCAGTATACCTACAAAAGCAATGTGCTTTTTGTGTTTCTAAGGAACTACTTTCATTTTGTGCTCAAACTGTCTCGATGATCTAGGTGCCAATAATAACCTCTACTGAAACCCACTGCTAATGTTTCTACACACACACGCCTCTTGAGTGTTTCCTCAGACATGACCTCCTATAGCAACAAGGATTATTTGATAACAAATGAGTATTTCGACTGAAAGGCCAGTGTTGAACCCTTGAAAAACAAGAACAAAGAAACAGCAAGAGTCTCACTGAAGATCCGGCGCTGTCTTCTGTGCCTGCAACTAAAAAGTGATTAAATCCATTGGAAGTAACTATTGTCTAATAGTCTGACTAGAATCAGACAATCTACTTATGATTCCCATGACTCTACAACTTGCTCCTTGTGATCAAAATGTGTAACAAAATGTGTTCACAGATTCACAGAATCTGTAAAACACTGAATAACAGCTCTTGTAACAGTGGGTCGAAATTGGTCTAGAAACAAAGTTTGATTTCCTAGCAATAGCTGCAGTTAACTTTGCTAATTACGATTAGAAATCTTACAGAAGCACAACCCACTCTGTAATTTTAGTCAGTTTTAAAAAGGTACCCCTAAAGTTTGAAAATATGATAGTAAACTTTAGAGGTTCCCACAAAAGGGTATAAGCTTCTTCAAAACTGATTTTCAAGTTTTAAGGAGAATTGTTTGTGGAATTCTGAGCTGTGAGGACAAAGACCAGTCTAGTTGTTACAGGACAAACAACTCGGGACATGGTCCTACTGAAACTCCAAGCCTCTTCATGAAACCTGTGAATATTCCACTCCGCCCCCAGACTCTCCCCTCCCCCAGGTGCTTTTGGTGCTAGGGTAACCATCGTGAATGAGGAAGGGTTGGAATTCTGCTTTGAAAGATTGGGTAAAATGTGTGTACTGCATTTTTAATCAAATAAATAAGTGTTGGCTGAATTTGCTTTGTTGAGTCCTCCTGTGAAACATCACATACCACACAGAATCTTCCCATGAAATGTGACTGTCATAATGAAATCATATAATTAATCCTGCTAATGTGCGAGTTCCTCTCCAAGACGTTCCATGGTGTGGCTACTCCGGTCTTTAGATTCCTCAGGTGATGGGATGATTCCAGGCCAATCTAGTAATCAAATGCCTCCCAGAGCCTGCTTCCTTCCTTTCTCAAATGATTGTTTAGGTAGAATATCTCATTCGCTGGGCAATGTCTGCCAGACAATTGCCTTTAAGGTCAATAACAATCAGGCAATCTTCAATACTCAAGCAGGGCATTGTTTTTGTACTGGATCTTTCATTGCTCGTACAGTTTAGTCACGTTTTGTTGAATAGCTGTAAAAATTCCGAATCAACCAATTGTAGAGATTTTAATTATTCAAATGTCAAACCTTGAGCACCTTATATTTTTGTTAAACATGACTTGATTTTTATCTGAAGGAACAATAATATTCAATCAACAAACATATCTCCTCACTATTTAAAATTTAAGTAGTTTGCCTAATGAGCCATTGATGTAAAACCAGGAGACTATTGTGTTTTCATTATGCATCATTAAACATCTTTACTAATCTATCTTAATGTAACCCAGGCTAAAATGCTGAAGCATCAGGTTTAGTTGCCCGAATCTATGCACAGATCTTCTGAGACATTCAGTTAAGACTATTTCATTGAAGTTAAGAGGATATCATCCTTAGGTGTAATGATGCTTTTTGTTTTTCAATTAAAAAAGACAAGAATCTGTACTCGTTAATGAAAACACTAATAGAAGGTAATATCAAAAGAATTACAATGAAAAAGGAAATGAACCTGAAAGAAACACGCAAAGGCCAACAGTTAAATATCAGGAAAGCTTCAAACTTTACTTTCTTTTGCAGGTTTCCTTTCTTTTATAAAATTTCAACAACTTCACAGCTTTGTACCTTAAATGAAAAGGTATTGTCAAGAAATTATGGAAAGGCAGCACTGAAACTGCTGCATTGTTTTCTCAAAATGATACCCCAAAGACAAGGTTTTGCACTTCAGGAAAATAATGTGACACTTAACAGAACCAGACGGTTATACAAGCCAGTAACGAAAATTTTGAATCACAACAAATACCTTTTAAAAACTTAAGGATCAATAACTGGTGCTTAGGAGAGAAATTCAGCAGAATGGCAGGGTAACTCACAATGCACAGTATTTCAAATACTCATCACTTAAGTAGTCTGATTTAAAAAAACAATTTTAAAATGTCAAGGCTTCAAGTATGTAAGTTTAAATGATCTTTTCTTACTATATAAAAATGATACTAAAAATACTAACCAAAGAGTTTCTTAAACAAAATATTTCTGCTCATGTTCCAAGTACGGTATGGAAATCTGTGTTCATATTCCTGATACAGTCTTTTATTCACCATTTAGACTTCAAGAAACAAAAGAAGCCAAATGCGAAGGGCTGTGATCTCACAATCTGTGTTTCATGCTTGAAAATACTCTTTACAGGATTAACACTGTAAACAAATACAGAAAAGTACAAAAACACTCACACGGTTAAAAAAAGAACTTTCATCTACACTTTCATCGTTTATAACGTGTTGTAACTGTCATCTAACATCTGCAGAACTTTAGGCTCCCAGACGTGTGTGAGGAAAGAAAAACAGAACAGAGAACTAAACCGGTTTTGCTATGCATCTACGTGATTCGCTGCTCGAGAAAAGAGATGGAATAGTAAAAGACGGCCGGAGCCCTTTCTTTTATGAAGCTACAGTGCCAATGGCTTCAATCCTACAGCACACAACCATGAACGCAACTTTTCAAGTGAAAACATGAATCTGTGAGGGGCAGAAAAGAGATGAAGGCATTGGTTGTCTGCAGCACATGTGCTAAGTGGCCGTTTGCTATTCTCTCTAATCAGTATCCGCTAGTGAGGAACGTGACAATCCAAAGCTGAGTGGAGAAATGGCACCCGGAGATACCCACTCTAATGGAAGACTACAAGAAACTAGGAAAAGAAGCAGTTTACATTTTTGATGCGTTCTATATGCGACACTGAGGCACTTCACGTCACAGATGTGAAGGAAAAGGAACTGATTTCCGACTGCTGATCTGATTCCTCCAAACACACAAAGTAAATGAGAAACCACACAGGAGGTTCAACCTGGTTATGGTATGGCACCGATGCTGCCAATAAACAGCATTTGTATGATGTGACATGTGAAAATGGCATCACTGGGGACATGGTGAGTACCATGTGAGTAAAATAACATAAGGAAATATAACAAATACACACAACAACAAACTCGAGTATGGTGTTCCTTTTCATGACTCAGGTGCAATACTTATTCACCACTGAAATGTTCAGCACAAGCAGAGGTATTAAACTCTACACTAATACCCATGGCTGCAATGAAACCACACACACACTGTAATCGTGCTCTGTACCATCACTGCAAACAATTTCCTGTCATAAAAACTCAACTTTAGGCACTTCAAGACCATAGCACTTCAGGTATGCGGCCTATTCTTTCACACCAACTTGTAGTTTGCAATCACAACACAATCTAAAAAAAAAAAAACAGAAAAACAACAGAAACCCATTCAAACCGATCAATATATTTCTAAGTAATTAAAACAACAAGAAAGAAAGAAAGAAAGGAAGCAGCTTTTTTAAAGTGGATTTAAATCCACAGATTTCAGTATTCTCTTTAAAGCTGCTCAGCTTAGTCACTCTGCTGCAGCCCAACAGACAGTACTGGGACACAGCAGGATTGGTAGGAAAGGTATAGAGATATTTAGCCTCAAGGAAACTCAGAAACATCAGTGTTCACAGCTGGTGCAATGCTGTTGCGAAGGCCCTTGTCACGTTCAGTATTAACAACACAGGACCGTGGCTCTTGCAGGTGATGTCAGCAAGACAACCAGCAATTTTGCACAGCATTCTGGTTCCATAGGCATAGGTTTGCAGGACATTTTCTGCTACAGAAAAAAATTTAAAAGTTCTAATTGTTCTAAAGTACAAAAACAATCTTTTCAACTGCCTACAAAGACCCCGTTAGTCAGGATCTTAAACAATTTATCAATATTATATGATACATTGTAGTTATCCAGTTAGCAATAAACTTAGTTTGTATTTAACCAATTTGTAAATACTGCTATCAGTAAGGTGTCAAATCCAGGAAATGAAGAAAAATTCAATATTATTTAAAACCAGGATGCACTGCTCAGAAAACTGTTTCATACACTATAAGTGTAGTTTTTCTAACCCCCTACCCATACAGTTGGGCAAATAGGTTTCTGTGACATTTCCTTCAGTAAGTAACTGCTATGCAGACGACAACACCTGTGCTTAAGTTTCTCTGAAACAAAGAGCTGACTGCTCAGTTTTACTTTTTTGGTCTGTATTAAAAAACAACAAAAAATGTCAGGCAACAGAATTTTAAGAAATACTAGCACAGAGGGAAAAAAGACGACAAATATGCCTGAAGAGAGCCCTCCAACAATAATAGCTGAGCTCTTTTCAGTCATATTTCTGGATGAGGGTTCATGGGGACAGCCTCTGTTTTCCTCTGCTAACCAGGGATTCACAATATAGCAGCTGAGTGACAGCCCTGCCTGCCACAGCCACAGTGCAGGTGTTTCTGAGGAGGTGGACTGAGCCAGCCTTCAGCTGGCCCTCCCTGTCCCCTTTCATATCTAATCCATTGGGAATAAGACTGTCCCTCCTGGGCCTCTGGGTCAGGTGAGGTGGAAAGGCTGACAACGCAAGGAGGCCTTTTTCTTTGGGTTTTCCAACATGCTTCCCAATGTGGGAAAGTTTCGTCATTAAGGATCCACTTTGCTGTCTTCTTCCGCATGTTTCTGCATGTGCCTGGGAGCGTCCTGGAGAAAATGGAAAAAAAAAACCCATCAATATTGCGGACAATATATACTTCCTTCAAAACACAACCCAAAGCATTCCCTTTGAAACTATCTGTCCTCAGGAAAGAATGACGGTCATCTACCATTTTTCTCTCAATAGTCAGTTCTGCTCGGGACTAATAAAACTGCACACACCATTGACACGTAGCAGAATGACAAGATCAAATAAAATCTTTTTCTGTAATCATGGTGTCAAAAATACCAGAAAAGAATTATGTATTATCTTTTCAGTCAAAAGTACTTTCTGCCATTCTTTGTTATTTTAAAGCAGTAACCATTCAAAAAGGATGATTTTTTAGCTTATATAAGGCCTTATATATAAGGCTGATATAGAGGGAACTGTTCTTAATAGCATTCAAACTTTACAGGGGAATTCTCATTACTGACCTAAGAGACTAATGACAGTGAAACACCTCCAACAACACCTGTAGTAATCATGTGTTTTGGTGTGCAAAATTGAGGTAATCAACCTTTTTGTCACATCATGACAAGTCTGAACTGCAATTAAATGTGTGCATGCAAAGTACTGCAAATTGGACTACGTAGGCCTGAGCCTGGTTACAGAACGTACCAGCTTGGACCCATTCCTGACGGTGAAGAAGGCGTCGCAGTTTCTCCAGCGGCATTTGAGGGTCTGGAAGTTGGGGTTGGTGTGGTCTGTCAGGAGATGATGCTTCAGGTGATCCACCACGCCAAAAATCAGAGAGCAGCCGTGCCACTGCCAGGGATGAAGAAAGAGGGAAGAGACAGTCATCTCCTGAGACACACTTCTATAGTAGTGCTTTAATCAGAAAAGGGCAGACTCAGACATAAAGCCCCTTTATTTCTATAACAAAAAATAGAGTTGATTAGTGCAAAATATGACTTCTCTGCACTCTGCCAAGTGTTTAGTGTCAAGTCTCTCCTTTAGATCTGTTAGATCTGTGAGAGATGTTATTCAGGAGGATTACTGCAGTAGAATCATATCAAGCAAATCCTGTGGCCCAAAATAAAATATTGTATCCAGAACTGTACTTGTCAAGACACCATTTTTAATTTGGAATGCTGAACATTGGTAACGGCATTTGTTCTTTTTTATTAGCACTGGAGTTCAAGGGTTCAAGGGTTTCTGGAGCATACATTCAGTCTTCTAAAGTGGTGGTATTCTCTCTTGTGTGTCCTGTCCAGACAATTTAATTAAAAATTGTTAGACATAAATCTTCCACATACCATAATTTTGAATATATACATATTCTTCCCAACTGAGGTAATACTGTATATGTTGTTTGTAAAAGCTAACATTTTATATTTATATATTTTACATAGTATTCCCATAACTGAAATGTACAAGTACTATGAATACTTTTCATCCAGTATAGTACACACATTTCCTCAGAAATTGATAATATCAATGTGACACAATTTGTATTTAAAACACAGAAGGACATGCAATCGTCTCCTGTAAATTGCATGGTGTCAGTAGTTGTAAAAAGATCAAGGCTCTATGTGCGTCTTTCAGGAATTTCTTACCCAACAGCGGTAGTTCTGCATCAGGTTCAAGCGTACTGCTTGGACACTCCCGTCATAGCAACCCGTGTAGATCTGAGAAAGAAACATTTTCCATTACATTCTGATTTTCTAAAACATGGGATTGATTGATATTAAGGAATGCATTTATATTATTCTTAAGAATTATTTAAAGGGAAAGCATCTCATAATCATATGAATCATTTTGAATCTGATCATTAATAATGATTAAAAGTCCCCACTTCTTGATACAGTCATCTACTATATTCATAGCGGAGTGAAAAGTAGCTTACCATGCTCTTGTGAATCGCCATGCACATCACCATGTCCTTGTGTCCACCATAAACCTGCAGTCGATCGTGAGACTGAAAAACAAGTTTTCAAATAGGGAGAAACTGCCTTAAAATACTCTAAGACCTCTAAGGCAATTATATCTGGAAAAATTACATTTGCTCATATAAAACCATTTCTTTAACTATAGTCACCGAAAGGTTGCTTACTTATAGCGAAAGGCTTTTCAACATACTTCCTCCATCTTTTACCCAGCAGTGACCTTGGGACAGCACACTTGAAAATTGCTGCGTGCTCCACAACCATATTTAAAGGAAAAACATAATGTACTTCATGCCTGTGATCTATATACCTCTTAACATGGTTGATTCCCTCTGGCCCTACAGCAAACATGAGTTATCAGATAACCATCTGCTGAACTTTGCACTTGGTGTTTTCTAACATTACCGCTCTCAAGTGTGTTTAAACTAAAATGACAGGGGTGACTACTTCTTTATTCATTTTGAACATTTCAGAAAAGCAAATTCATTTCTCTTTTTGTGTATATGTTTGCTGATAAAACCAAGCACAGTTTTTCTTTACTTCCCAAAAGACATAAAAAGTTAAACATGCCAACATTAGATAAACTAAGATGAAGAATTATTTCAGCTTAGTAATATTTTTGCTGTGTAGCTCATGTGTTAGGCACCAATATCTGTCCCTGTGTTCAGTAAGTTCTCTGGGCAGTATTCCAACGTGCCTGCTCCTTGACAAGTTTCTGTGCCTTAAAGATTCTGAAAACAACAAATATAATATTTTGTTCTTTTTAACATTTATAAAGCTGGTACTTCAAGAACCCCCAAAATGTACCTCATTATATAGCCAAATACAAATGTTCCAAATTTAATTTAAACCCAATCTATGCATAAGCACTTCATAAAAGAAACAGTTGTTTAGTAAACACAAAAATGAATTTAGTGCTGTGTCTCAAACTGGAAGAAATGTTAGTAAATAAAGCCTGTGGAGAGGCAGTGCGTACTACATCAACAAAACTTCAAGAGGCCTGCAGGGCAAGGATTACGTAAGGGATGAGCCAAACAGACATGCTTTTTATGCACGAGTGTATCACTAGTTTTTAAGGATGATGCATCTCCAAATCAGCATGTGGTTGTTTTTTTAACAGGACATAAGAGGAGCACACTCAGCCCATCAAACACATTTGGTTGGTAGCAGAATAATCTAAATAATCTGATTTATAAATTTGTAATAACTGACTTAAAACTTTCAGGATTCATTTATAGCTCTGTTTCCCTGGGATTTGAAGAGTCTCCTGAGAAACAGAGCTAGTTAAATAGCTCATGCTAGAAAACCAGAAAAGTTTCTTCTTTACCCTTAAACCAGGGTAGGATTTGGCCCAGCTGGCTGGAATTATTGAATGTGCTTACCTGCAGTTCATAGACGCGCACCAGTTTATCCAGACAAGCTGTGACCATGACGTTCCCCAGGATCGTCACCACGGTGACGGCGTGGCTGTGGCCTTTGTAGATCCGCACAAGCTCCCCGGTCTGAATCGACAGGGTGGGCAGAGCAGCCAAAGAAAGCAGGAGATCAATACAGGAAAAACACAAATATGCCAATATGGGAGTGCACATTACTCACACTTCCGCAGCCTCTTCCCTTACTGTACATGTCTTCTACACTGTGGAAAAAGTACTGGGGAACAAGACTACAGACTTAGGCCTGTCCACATTGGTGTGCTAACACTGTGTTAGAGATTCAATGACCTTTTTTAAATCTTCTTAACCTAGGTAACACAGTGCTGAATTTGGCTCTTGAAGACAAATTATATGAATGATGTCTGGTCACAAACAAAAATACATATATTTGTCTATTTTGTTGCAGAATATGTATCTTCTACGTTTTTTCTGCTTGACAACTTAATGCAAATATGTGGTTCCAAATATGACACATTCACTCACACTGTAAAAAATGCATGCGACCAGCAAACCCTTCCCTGAATTTAATACATATGACCACAAAATACTATAGCAGTTATGTTGTACTATAAATCAATATACTTAGTTAAGTTGGTCATTAGTCTGTTTTCAAATGATGGACTTGATTGAAATCCTTAATGTAGAATAATGAGAATAAGAACTCTTTTCCATTACTATTCACAATCCCACAGACATAACTCACTTACATGGATGTTGTGAGCATGGACCGACTGGTCACTGGATCCACTGAAAACCAGGTCATTCACAACCTGAAAGAAATATTTATGTAAAGCTGTTAAGGAGAGGTAAACGTTCAGGAAACCATTGTCTACCGAGAAACAAAACTTCAGGCAGCAAAGTCCCCTCTTACTAGTTATACATTTAAAAAACGTCACTCTCAATAATGTTGCGGTTCTCATGCAATGAGGTAATAAGATAACACAAATAACGTGCACATACTATGACCACAAGTAGAATTCCTAAAAATTCTTTGACTTTCCAAGATTTTCGAATTTTCGTAAAAAACATTTTGACAGGAAATATTTTAAAAATTAACTGAACTTGTAGGAATCCCATTTCTGGACACTCTACTCAAAGTGCTTTACAGGTAAAGAGGAATCCCCTCCACCAATATGCAGCATCCTTGTGGATAATGTGAAGGCAGCGATAATGTGCCAGTACACTCATCACACACCAGCTATCAGTACGAAGAACAGAGTGACGAAGCAATTCATAGATGGGGATTAGGAGGCCATGACTGGGAAAGGACAGGGGGAAATTTGGCCGGGACGCCGAGGTAACACCCTTACTCTTTTAGAGAAACGCCCTGGGATTTTTAATGACCACCGAGGGTCAGGACCTCGTTTATATGTCTCATCTGATGGACGGAGCCTTTTTACAGTATAGTGTCCCTGTCTCTATACAGGGGCATTAGAAACCACACATGAGTGCCCCCTGCTGGCCCCACTAACACCTCTTCCAGCAGCAGCCTTAGCTTTCCCAGGAATCTCCCATCCAGGTACTGACCAGGCTCACACCTGCTTCAGTGGGTTACCAGTGGTGAGTTTCAGGGCAACATGGCTGCTGGCAAACCAATACTAAGAGTGGGAAATGAGTGCAGGAACGCCTTTCAGCTGGCTGGCCGTGAATCACCTTCATGCACAGCACTGTCTTGGTGTGACCCTCCAGGGTGCGCAGCAGCAGGCCGCTCTTGGCGTCCCGCACGCTGATGGTGCAGTCGTACGACCCCACCAGCAGGATCCGCCGCGCGCCCTCCTGGGCGGTGGCGATGCAGCTCACGGCCCGCGGGGCGTGGCACTCGAACACGTCTAGCTGCTTGTTGGTCTGCGGAGAGCCGGGGAGAGCAGGGGGTTACAAGAACCGAAGCATGATCAGCAAATGGCAAATTGAAGCTGTGTTGGTGTACACTGTTCGTGGGGAAAGGCAAAGCATCAGCTAATAGTTCAACTAGGTAGCCGAGTCAGAATTTAAAGGCTGCAAAGGAACAAGTAGAAGTTTATTCCATGCTGAAAAGAGAAGAAAAGAAACACAACATTTCGGCTGTGAAGCCACACCTGAAGACAACAAAAATCATTGTGTTTCTTCTCTTTTCAGCATGAAATCAACCTTTACTTGTTCCTTTGCATCAGTTAATAGAACACTTTTATAAGAATTACCTGTATTATTCAATACCCAATTTAAATGCAGTTGGCTACACCAGCACACACAATACATCCATCCATTTTCTAACCTCTTCATCCAATTTAGGGTTTAGAGTAGCCGGAGTCTATTTTGGGCACAAGACAGGATACACCCTGGATGGGACGCCAGTCCATCGCAGGGCACACACAGACACAAACGCACACACTCACACCAGAGCCAATTTTGCCATGTGCCAATTAACCTACTAGTTTGTCTTTGGACTGTGGGAGAAAACCAGAGCTCCATACAAACATGGGGAGAACATAAAATTCCATACACATATACACATCACTCTCCCCACCTCCGGACCCTGGGAATTGAACCCAGGACCCCAGTACTACAAGGAAGCAATGCTAACCAGTGTGCTACTCTGCAGCCCACATAAAATACAATATAAAACAATGCACAAAAGTGGACATATATGATAGTGTGCCTCAATTTGATATTCTCAGTAAAAGGAAGATTCTTACCATAAAACCTTCCACTGCAGCACAATCCCTTCTCAATTTGAGCCCAGCTTGGAAATGTACCAAGGGCTGTTATAGGTGTCTTACCTTCAAGCTGATGCTGACCACCGTCCCATTTGCCAGCCCAGCGTACAGCACTTTCCAGCGACTGTGAAGACACAGCACTCGGTCCAGCTGGCAGAACTGCTCCACGCACTCGAAGGTCTGCATGACAGACAGCAACCATCAGGTACAGGGGGACCTCCAGCCGGTCCACACTCAGGGATTATTACGCCCTAACACGGTGTGCAGCTCTCTTTGTGAAACCCAAGGCTTGCTTGTTGTCACCTTGGTCTTAAATGTTCTAGGTGTGCATGTGCCTCATCACTGAAGGGCTTTGGAAATTACCTGTGCCTATTCAATCTAATTAATTTACAGTACAGATGCCACTTTGTCCTAGACTGGTCCTCATTATTGACGACTCCCAATTCATCCTTAACCACTAAGCAAGACCAATGTACAGTAGCTTGCTGGGCTGTTTCATGGGTGTTCATCTACAGCATCTGGCTTACTGGTCTAGTCTTAACTGAGTCTTAATCTTCAGTGCACATGCTACAGGACAGTGAGACCTACTAGGCTCCTATAATAACTCAGTAATCTTATTCCAGACCCTTCTGTACTGTAGTGGTTTCAATGGCAGTATGACTTTGCCATCACTCCCATGACCAGTTCGTTTTCACATTCCAGGTAATTTTGTCTACTGCACATGAGATCAACCTAACACTCGGGGGTGCATGAAATTGGTACACAGGTACACATAAGGATCTGGCAGTCTAAAAACCCTGATCATGCTGGGCCATAAAGTCTAACCCTACCATCCCTGAATCGCCTGCTGGATATCAATAAAGATATATGTGCCTGTGCAGACACACTGATACAGGTAGTGCTTGCATAGTATGAATTGTAAGAGTACAGTGGACATTACTTTTGTGCTAATATGTGCACGGCTGGAAAAACAGAGAAGAGTAGGCGTGAACAGCTTCTGCTGCTGGGTACCTTGACGTTATAGCAGCGGATTGTGTGGTCGCTGGCGCCGGTGTACAGGTACACAGGCATCCCAGGACCCTGGGACACCATCAGGCAGTTCACTTTGGTTGTGTGCCCTTCAAACACAGCCACACACTTGCGGGTCTGAAATACACAAGCATCTGGGTTCTTAGGCATATCACATTGAAGTTTCATTATATAGATAAAAGCTTTTACACTATGAATGCAAAATAATCTTTCTGTCTTATGGAGGAAGTAACTACAGGTATATTTCCCAGTGAGGTGGAAGCTTGTAACTGTCACATCAGTGTTCAAAAATAGCTTAAGTTAGGCACCTAAAGGCTGGATCTGGCAAGGTCTGTATTCCCTGACAAATCAGGGTTAATCCAAGGTACTGACAGTGTAAATCACACACTCTGGATTTTAAAACAATGAAAGAACACTAACCCCACTGGACTACTGATACTGACATTTTCAGTTGAAATACAGTAACCATAATAACACATAGAACAATACCATCATCATTATTACAGAAAATTAACCTTACTACAAAATCTGTGGAACATCTGTGTAAGAGCTTGTACTAAGAGGATAGTTTTCTGTTTATCCCAGAAGTACAATTTAATCCTCAGGTTTGATATGTTGGGCATCACCGGAAAATACTGCTGATTTAATCACATCACAACTCTCCAGGTGAATCCCCAGAGCTCTAGAACATGTGTATTGAGGTAATTCTGTCTGACATGGTATCTCAGGAATATATTTAGCAGAGTTGGCAGCAATGTTAAATAGTATGTTTCAATGCCGTTGGCCACTCTGGCATGCGTTTGTGATTCAGCATTGCAAAGTGGTCCTCTGTCCCCCCAGTCTCCCCTCATACACTCACAACCAGGCTGAAGGCTCGCACTGTCTTGTCCCCAGAGCAGGTGTACAGCAAGCCATTGTGGATCTGCATGGAGTTCACAGCAGCCTGGTGGCCCTCAAATGCCCCCTCTGTGGGCTCCTCCTCTTCGCCAGGCTCCGATGACACCTCTAGAAAAACGACACTTCCCTTTGTTTCGCTCTTACACAATCCATCAAGAGCTTTTAAGAGAAAGAAGCTTAAGAAAAGGACTGAAGTCTGCATAGTGCTGAAGACTCTCTGGTATGATTTGTAAACTACAAGAAAACAGTTGTCCTTGCCTATGTTAGGTCTAGTTTAAAAAATAAGCTGACGTTCTAATAAGAGCTAGGGTTTTTTGCATCAGCTTCTTCTTTTTTCGAATAAATACTAGATCATTTTCAGTTTGACCCACGGTCATTTTCTGTGTTATGGACGCACCTATTCTAAAGATCCTAACATTAACCACCCATGTACTATATATATATATTCATATACATAAAGACATGCCAAAGGATTTTTATTTCGCCTAGGAAGGAACAAGCAACTGTGAAATAAAATAAAGCGTCATATTACAATGTTCATGACCATGTTTTATCTTTATGTGTATAAAGTACGTAGTGTCCTCTAAGCACTCATTCTTTTGTTTTTTAGCAACTTTCAATGGCGATATTTCCCAACTTTTTTTAAGCAGATCCCTGAACATTATCTGAATTACTGGTCTCTATGCTATGCCCCAAATGAACATTTATGCTGCTTGTGCCACTCAGAAATAATTTTCCACAGAGAAAAAAAAATGTTCTTGTTTATATGAGATAGTACTGTTACTGTTTATACAAGTAACGCTGTTCACAAATTAACTATTGCATTTAAATGGAATATTTTCTCATATATAAAATAGATACTTTTCTCACATGAAAGCAATACTATCTCGTATAAACAAAATCATTTTTTTCTCCATGGCGCTAATAAGCTTCCATAAGCTTTTTTAAATTCTAATAAATAAATAAATTCTAATAAAAAACACAAATCCAACTATCAATTATTTAGCAGCTCTCAGCATTAGCTTTCAGTGCATTATCTTACAATGTAGCAGTTATTACAACACTTGGATATAAAGTAGGTGGTGGTAGGCAACAGTGTATGGAACATCAAGGGGTTGCATTTACTACTGCTGGCTGTGCTCCCTGGAAAAGAGTGCTATGATACAGAACATACAGAAAACAAATGAAGAAAAAAGAAATGTATCCTCAAAACAAGGGTGAAAGGGCACTCTTCCATTACATTCTGGACTTGCAAAGATAAATAATACTTCAGAGAATGTTGATATAGCAACATTATCCAGGTGCCTTCTTATGTAAGCTGCATAGTGGCAAGTAACCAAATACCTACGGTTTAGAACAAGCCAACCAGATGTCAGTCACAAGTCTAACCAGACATGCAGAGGAAGAACCAGGAACTTTTCTCCAACTATCAGTGTATTTGATTAATTTTTCTGCAACATACTTGTACGCAGCGTGCCTTTAAAACCTCTGTCGATATAAATAATAATGTAGCGCCTCAGTTACTAATACCATTCCCATAAGCAGTAATTTCAGCCCTCACAGGACTATTTTTATCAAAGCTAATGTGTACTGCACTAATTTCGTCCTGGGAGAATGGAGTTTGTAACATGCTCCGACTGCTGTGGGCTCTGTCAGCATGCTGAGTGAACACTGGGCTCTTACAGAGACATGGACTTTAAAGACACAGGGGGGCAGGAAGCTATTGAACATTTTTCTTCTAATCGATGTGTCGAAGAGAACAAATGAGAACCGTAAAAACTACAAAAACTTTTAAAACTTAATGTCAGTGGCAGTGGTTTGAGCAATTTGGCTCTCTGATCCTTACGTGTCAGGACTCTATTTTTTCAACAATAAATGGAAAGTTTGAGAGAAAAGGTGTTGGTGTTCTCTGCAAAATTACAAATTTAGAGCAAAACAGAGGATAAAAGGGAGAGAAACTCAATTGTTAAATTGTTCTATTCCCATTGCTAGCAGCATATGTACAATACTAATAACAGACATTACATACCGGCCATTAAAAACTAAAAACAAATGAGGACATACACAGTAGACTCACCTGAAGAATTCTTTGATCCTTTCACAGAAGACAAAGGTACCTGGGTTTTACTGGAGAAACAAAAGAAACATGAACACTTTTATACTAAGGTCTGTAGTTGTTGTTGCTTGCTTTGAAAGGTCAATATGAATTGTGTCGCTGAATAATAGAGAACAGTAGAGAAGCTAATAGCATCTGTGCACATGATTACTAATATTAGTGTTATCCTGCATACTGAGTACAAATTACCTTGTTGCACAACATTTTGGAGAAAGACACTATCACTACATTTAAATCGCTGTAGACTTAAGCCAAAGCCGAGGTGTTGTACTGGCTGACTATGAGCTTGAGCACAAGACGTGAAAGAAAAATATCCTCCTTCTATGTCAGTCATGTCAAGGTTTTACAACCTAAAGGCATATGTTTTTTGAGGTTTTATACAAATATATTTCTGAGGTTTCATATAAAAACAAAATGCATTATAGGTTTAATGAGGTTGATGAGGCATATGATTAAAATTATCAGCATACGTTATATTTTTGTACATATACATTCACACTTCATTGTGATGGTTATGGTATGTGGATAATACAACGCCCAGAAAATTGGCTTTGCAGCCATCTATGCTCACATGACTAACACACTTTATGGCTAAGTTCTAGAACTGTATGTTGCTATTAATAAAACAACTCGCAACTGACCTTCCCTTGTTCTTGCCCCTGCTGTTTGTGCCCAGTTCACTGGTGGAGCTGACTTCGTCACAGCCCAGTTTCTGGGCTTCCTGCTGTTGGTGTGTAGCCGCAGAGGAGGACTCTCCCTTGGCCAGGGACCCTTGCTTCTCATCCCCGGACGAGTCTATGGAGACCACCTCCAGCTGCGTGCGTGGGACCTCCATCACCTCCAGAGAGGAGTCGCTGTCCGCGGTGCCCTGTTCCAGCCCCACGAGGAGAGGTGTGCCGCCCTGGCCTGGCCTGGCCTCCCTGCCCTGCTCTGCCTCCTCCTCCCCCAGGCCCAGTGAAGTTGACGTGCTCACCCGCCCTCCTTTGGGGATTTTTCTGGATTTCGCCTTCCTGGTGGGCCGCGTGCTGTCACCATCCTGCTCTGTGTCACTGTTGTCCTGCACGTCGCTCGCTTTTCTCAAGGATTTCTTCTTCTTCAGTTTCTTCACCCGCTTCCCGCTCTTGGTCTCTGGTGATGGTGCCACCACGGAAGACTCTGCCACAGGTTCTGGCCTCTTGCTCCGGTGTGCCGCTTCTCTGCTCGGACAGGCCAGCGTCTGGACCCGGGTGCCTGGCCTGTCTGGTGCCGCAGAGGTTCCCAAGCTCGTGGGAGAGGCCTTCTCTTGCTGCCGGGAGCCCGGCGATGGCTGAGACAGGCTTGGGGAGCAGCACGAAACGGGCTTCACGCAATCTGGTTAGGGAGATACATCAATGGGAGTTACAGCACTGGTGAAAATGAACTGACCTCTATTTTAAAAAGTAAATTAAAAATGTCTTACTATACATGCTTACTGGGTTACTTATTAGCTTCCCTATTTATATGTCTACTAATCCTGTGATCACATTTCAGTTTAAAGCCTTGGTGTTGTGCTCAGCATTTTTGTATAACATATTTCTGGCTGAGCTGAATTGGAAAGTGAAGACATGTGCAGTTTACAATTAAAATGCAACTTCTGTATCCTTTGACCATGTTTTGGAAGTACACTCCTTTAACAAAAAGGCCACCTTATTTCTGGTCAGACTAGACCCACCTCTGGCCATAAGTGTAATTTATTTCTCAGAAAAAAGTAACATGCCCTGCTTAACCCCCTCTGAAAAAAGCAGGATTCCCCAGTTTTCGCAGTGTTGTCCCTTGAAAAAATGTGCAGTCTGCGGCCTGCAGGGTGAGCTGTGAGGCTGACCCGCCCAGATTACCTTGGCTGGCGGAAGAGGGCCGGGGCTGCGGGTCCTGGGAGCCGGCTGTCAGGAGAGGCTGCCGTCTGCCTGGGGAGACGGGCTCCTGCTTGACGCACACCGTGAGGGCGACGGCGGCTGGATCGGCTGGCGAGAGGGGGGCCAGAGGGGCAACGTGCAGGGGCAAGGGGGTGAAAACAGTGGGAGGGGGCTGGCCCGCGGGACCCGGAGTGCCCTCAAGCGTGGGAGAGAAGGGGGACGGATGTGTGGCAGCTGCTGGTCTGTCTCCCGCTGCCAGCTCCTCTCCCACTGGGCCGTCAAATCCCTCTGCCGGACAAAATCAGAAGAGTGCAGGGGCTGAGAGCAACTCTGCTCGCATTTGACACGCAAAGCAAACCCCATTTTCGAAATGAAGAAAACACAAATAGCCAAGCAATACCGGCTCACATAAAAGAATAATAAACCAATGTCATAATAATAGTCAGCCAATGGGTCACTTTCTGAAGGACAGGGCAAGGTCCAGTCTTTTGGCGGATCTGTCAGATGCATCAGTTAACCATAACCTGGCCGAAATGTGGCCCGATATGTTGCTCACAGCCTGGAAGACAGTCTGAAAACAGCATTCACTGGGGAAAGGAGAGATCAACGCATGTTTAAGAGGTGCCCGTCTTACTGTAAACAAGACTTTTCACATCTTTGTCGAGTGGATACATTTGGTTATGTACCAGTGTGGTGAAATATCAGTGTGACATTTTAGCTCCTACCTTGCATTCCCTGCAGGATCTCAATTCTTTTAGTTCTTAACGTACTCATTTCCATGGTGACCTAAATGAAGAAACAGTATTACAGGTAAAGCTGTTATCTAATTAGACATATATACATGTATGCAGTTTCTTTAGCATTTATAGCTCATAAAACACTTCCACTGTGCAACACAATTTACATGTGTTTTCTAATTTGTCATATTTAGTGAATGTACTGTGATTCAAATGCATGTCCTTTTGCATTTAGAAAACTTTATTTGAGTGTGTTATACACAGAATATTCATTATCCAATGTACTGTACTTGGATTTTGTCTATAAGGATATTGTATCATATGGTGTGCTTTATAGCTGCAATCTAAATTAGGAGTGCATGCTATTAAAGTTTTTGCAAATTAAATGCCACAGTATTACTCCGTGTGTTCATGTTTTAGATCCAAAAAAATCATTTATTCACATCCTAACAATTTTATATAAAACTTTTTTTTTTTACATTTCCCTAAGCATTGCAAGCTTTCCTTGCTTAAATCTTACATGAACTGAAAACTATAAGTGCAATTCGAAACCTTTTTGAATGTAACTGGGGTCTTGGAATATTAAATTGTCCCATGAGCTTCTGTTCACATGCATTGTGGACTACACCAAGTACAGCAGTAAATTGCTCAGTAATGAGCCTATCTACTTTGTGAAGATGACAGATACCACATTTATGAACTTATGCATGCCACTTGCTGTTATGTGCCTCTTTGAGTGTAGTTACTTATATTATATGTGTGACAAACTAAAAGAATAGAAAATCAGCAACATTCTTATTCCAGCCAACTTTCAGTTCTGTCAGTAATAAATGTCAACTTCACAAGTAATGAAAACTGCTATATATAATAATTTGATGTAGTGGTATATAAACTACAACAGCATTTAGTTATTCTGCTAGGTTTGCATGATAACAGCATTCTGCAAACAAACTTGTCTTAAAGCATAGTTCAGGATGGCTTTGTGAACTTTTGCTCTGGTCAAAACTATGTGCAACAGTAGCACAAGTGAATGTGAGCATGAAATGCACTTTGCTGTAGTGCTTTATATACTGTAAAGATCCTTAATGCTGAACTTCTGGGGCTATTAGTGACCCCTGCCTGACTGTGAATTTGCTTAGACCAATTCCCTAGTGCTGCCTCTTTATTACCACATCCACGTCAGGACTGAAAGTCCTAAATCTTCAAAGCACTGCTGACTTGTCCATTTTCAGACTAATAGAAACCTTTCTCACACACTCACAGTCACACACTATTCCTTAAATCATAGAAGAGGATAATTTACAACTGATTCTGTAATGCTAAGAGCTTGTTTTTCTTGCGGGGAGGACAGTGTTGTGAAAGCGAGGCCTGCATGTTGCCCAGGTGAGTGGGCAGAGTGGGCAGATGGCTACCTGCTGCTTGAGCACGAGGAGCTGCTGCACCTCAATGTAGGCAGCCTGCAGGGCTGCCCGGGCCTGCAGCAGACTGGCGTCCACCCCCTGCAGGGAGCTGTTCAGCTCCTCCTCCCTCAGAGAGATGCTCAGGAGCTGGTCCACCTGGGTGCGCTCTGAAATACACAGCAGAACAGGGGGGTTACTGCTGCAGACAGCCTGCTCTCCAGTACATTTGAGCTAAAATCCTGTCCAGAGATCCTGATTCCAAACAAACCATGATCTAACAGGGTCTAATGAAATTCCTAATTCAACCACAACATGCAGACTAACCTGTATTTATTGTATTAACTAGGAGATGGGTTGGTTTGGTTTCCCAGAGAATAAAGAAAAATGCACGGAGCTTCCTGGTTGAAGCCCTGGCTCTAATAATTATTGGCTGAGAAACCAACACTTGTTTGCCATCTCTTAAAGCTACTGACATGGCCCAGACTCAAACCAAAACCTTCCGGGCCACAGAGTTCAAAGATGCCCTCTAAAGACAACACTTTCACTGGTTGGCAACCTTGGAGCCTCACAACGGTATCTGGACATTCCTTTCCATGGTAGCCCAACATTATTTAACAAGAATATGAAAAGTGCAGCAAGAAACAAAATACCACCATCTGTAAAAAATATGGAAAACCAGAACTGAGAACTTCCAGATAAAAACTACTCTGAAAGGAAGTAGGACCTCACTGTGCACAGATCTTAAGAGCTGTTTAGGAGACTCCAGAGCCTGAAGTAAAACCAAGAGAGGATCATGTGAATTACTCGTGCACTCACCCTTTTTGGACTTGATTTTCCTTCTTTTATTCTTCCTCTCTAAAGCGGGAACTTCTGGGGACGGAACATCCTTGAACAAAAGAAAGAAAAGTCAGTCAAACAGAAACACTGTCTGTAGTGAAAGTTCACTATGAAAAGTACTTTAGGGAAGGAACAGTAAATTGCCTCTAGATGCAAGATTTATCTTACAACAAAATGAACAGATCGCTTTCCCTAACGTAGGGTGCAAACAAATTTTGGGAAAAAGACTCATCTAAATACAAAGTCAAACACTAAGATGCCAAATCTTCCATATAGATTATTATGCTTGTTAACAGAATCATCAGTCTTGAGTTATGTGAGCTGCGGCTCTTATACAAACTGTGCTGGGCAAGTGGGCATACACGAGAGTGCACACACCCTGGGTATTAACAATGCAGAATCTGATGCTGGAGTACCTCTGCGCCCAATAATGCCATGGCTACAACCTAGTAGACAGTTCAGCACCATACACACGCCTCTTAGCTGAAGTTACCAAGAATATAAGCACTTAGATTGTATGCCATAAGCTTCATTATCGTATTATCAAAGTGTTACCAACTAAAAGGGAAAAAGAGGACTTTTTGGCTGGACTGCAATATACTGTACTGAATAGTCAATTTACTGAATCCATCAGCCTTCTTGTTCTGATGAACTCTTAAAATGTATTATTCATAGCCATGTAATACATAAATGGTGAGAACACAACCATAAAACTGTGCAGGCCACCGCCATCAAGAAGACACACAGCAATCTCTCGCTCATGCCATGGAATTACGGCACAACTGAAGAATTCCCAGATTTCAGGGCTGCTGATGTTAATACAACAAGGCCCCGTGTGATTTTTTTTTTTTTTTTGCAGACTGAACTCATCTTTAACTTAATCTTAGTTGTTGTAAAATTTTTATAGGTTCAAATTTTTATTGAACTCCCTTTTGTTTGACTACAGGAGGCTTCTGCACATGTCACTACTCACGGCTGCTGCTCTGCGTTTCTTCCCCACTCCTTGTGTGTCATTCTGCTCGGTCCCAGAGGTGCAGCTGCTGTCTCCCTCAAGGGAGTCCGGCCCCCGAAGTGTTCCCTCCGCTCCCTCGGTCCTGGCCGTACTCTCGCTCTCGGGGCCTAGCGAGAGGCTCCAGGCCTGCTCCCCCTCTCTCTTCACAACGGGCATCTCCTTCATGACAGAAGTGCACTCGGTGGCTTCGGCCTTCTGCTCCTGCCCAGTCTCGGGCTGCTGCCTTGCCTTGGAAGTCTGCCATCCAGGTGGACACAGCTTGAGGTCGGAGGTCACCCCACATGGTATTGGCCCATGAACGCCATCGCCCTGCTCTGTGCCAACCTCGGCAGACCCGTCTGTGAACAGGCAGTAGGAGGAAGTGGGCCTGTCCATGACCACACTGCTCTCAGACAGGCTACGCTTGCGAGTGGTGGCAGTCTGCATTACAGAAATATCTTCCCACTGAAAGCCTTCCAGACAAGGAGGATCAGCTCCCTCCTCCAAGTCACTGGGCAGCGGAGTCACCATCTCTATGCCAAACCTGTAGGGCCAATGAACAACAACTCATTACCTGAATTCAGGACATGGGCACAGAAAAAAAACTGTTTTCATTGCAAGGATTATAAAGATTTTCTTCTAAGACTGGTTTGAGTAACACACCAGAAGTGTCAATAATAACAAACCAAAGTTCCCAGATGATGGAATTCATCAATTCAATTTGAATTGGAATTCAATTTTAATGACATATTTTAGAGTACATTCGTGTGTTCTGTGAATGACAGAGGAAATGATTATTTTTAACTTTGCAAAACTGTTGTTTTATGCTGAAAAACAAACTAAACTAACTAAAAATGAAAAGTTTAAGAATCTTGTCCTACACAAAAGGATAATTCAACCTTGCCTAGTCTATCATGACATTTCTTATGCGAGTAAATTATGTTTGAGAGTAATTTCTCTAATACATCTGCACACAGAACTGTTTTCTCCAACAGTAAGGTCTGCATACAGTGAATAAACCCAGATCAGGTTTTTCCCAAACATATAATTACTGAATATCACCTGGGTTAAGAGGTGGCCAAAGCCAACTTGTAAATGAGAAGCAATATACACCATTAACATCAGAAACGTGGGCCTTAATGTAAAGGCTGGTTTTCCAGTTGATCTCACCTTGGCTGTCCTTTTCCCTGCTCCTGTTTCTTCCGGCTGACTTGTTGGTACACTTGGTCCCAGTTGACGTTTCTGCGGGATCCCGAGCTGCTAATCAGCTGGCGCAGGGTGGGCTTCAGCCCTGAGTCCTTCTCCGACTCGCTCTTACGGGGCCCACTGATATTACGGATGCGTCGAGCAATGTTGAGGTTGGGCTCATGGGTGCCAGTCTTGCTCTTAGGGGTGATGTGCCGCGTCAGGTCCCTCTGCAGTAAGGCAGGCAGGCCCAGTTTGCTTAAGTCGGGCACCTGAGACCCAGCAGGGTGCTGACCATTCCCCTTGGACAGATCACAGTCTGAGGCTTGGCTTTCTTCTCCTTGCATGCTCTGCTCAACCTCTTCGCCCTCAGCATACTCCTGCTGCCCTCCATTCTCTGGGGCAGACGTACAAGAGCCCTGAAGAGCTGTGCTCTCTGTGCTGGATGTGCTCACATCTATCGATTGTAAGGACATGCTTTGCGATGGGGTTGCTCTTAAAGCTGAAGGAGATAATCTGTCTGTCGACGTTTCTTTGGCAGAAGAGCTTGCATTTTTATTTTTAGGCTCCTTGGTCTGGGCTTTCCCACAGTCAGAAAGATCTCCATCGCTGATGTCTTCCAAAAGGTCATTCTTTTTGGATTTTTCCTCTTTGCTCACACTTTTCTTGTACCTTTCTGGTAGATCTTTGCTGAAGTGGAAAGCCTGTTCTTCCATGGCTTGGTCAGAGGGGGTATCCTGGGATTCATCATCCTTAAGGACCTCCTTTGCCTTTCTGAGCATCTCTGTTAACGAGCTGTCATGCTCCCCAAGGACACTGCTGTTCTGGGAGCTGGCACTCCGAAGTTTGGAGACATAAGACGTGTTCTTGCCTGAGCCCGTTTCCAGGTTGAGGGCACTCAAGTTAGACTTGGGGTCAGAAGAAGCTTTGAAGAGAGATTCGTTTGCTAAAATGCTTGACTGCTCACTGGGTGCTGCAACACCAGACTTCACTGAGGGCATGCACACATTGTTGCTGCTTCTTCTGGGGGATTTCCCTTTTGGTCGTACTGCTTCACTGTCTTTAGAGGTCACTGCTGGGTCACTGGTGCTTTTAAGCCCTGCCTGATCCCTCTGACATACCTGTGGTGAATTTTGCTTGAAGTCAAAGTTAATTTTTAGGTCATTCAGTCTTGGTGGCACAACCTGAAAATGCTGTGCACCCCCTGGCCTGCTTTCAGTCTGTTTGGATTCTGTGCCCTGGAATTTTGATGGAGGATATGGAGCCCAGCGGTGCGGTTTGTCTTTGGGAGCATTATTCAAGTTTTTCCCATTGCTCCTTTCTGATGTGGGGGCTGGCAGGTTCTCCGTCTGACGATAATGGAAAGAACATCTCATAGGGATATTGTCGGTGTTGAAATCGAAATTGGAGGTCCTGTTCACTCCTGGTGTCGCGGAACCTTGTTTCCCATCCTGTCGATCCCAGTAGAACCTGTTCCAACCATAGTTGTTGTTCATCGGCTGGGCTTTGTCCCTTAGGGGCAGGAATCCGTTAAAACCCCACTTAGATCCCCAGTTGCCCCCTCCTCTGCCAGGATACCAATTAGAGAAACCTGCAGATCCTTCAGGGTGCCAGCTGGCATTCCTGCCCTGCCTGTTTTCATGCCAGTTTCCCTGTCCTTCACCCGGATGCCTACCAGAGGGACCCCCACCTGACTGCCAGCAGGGGTTTCCCCAACCCTTACGGTTTCCCGGGAACCTGCTGTCATCCCACCCCCAGTTCCTGGGCGGAGGCCTTTGGTGATGCCAGCGAGACTGGTTTTCCAGGTAGCTCTGTCTCTCTTCATTTCTCTGCTGGTGCCTTTGGTTTTCTTCATTCAAAGATGCTTTTGCTGCTTCCTCTTTCTCCCTACTGAATCAACAGACAAACAACATGACTAGAAACTATCCTAGGACAAGCAGAAGATACATTCTTAAACTTCTGTCTGTATATGCTTTAGACCTAAAACAGTAGAGAAAAAGCAACTCTAAAATTCTAAAATATTTACATTTTTTAAGGAAAAGGATTTAGTAAATATATATATATAGAAAGGGCAGTCTAAGGAAGAAAGGAAGTTGAGTGTTTCTTTAAGTCTTTAAGTGAAAATGTTTTAAATTTTAATTCTGCTAGTGTCTTACTGCAGCATTCATGACACTAGTGTTTCGTTGATTGAGAGCACTGCAGTGGCAATGACCTCACTGCTCTGTGCAAAGAGCTTGTGCCATGTGATCTGAACAGGTGCACACCAAGCCCCGCTCCTGACAATCGGCAAAACTGTTCTCTGTGTTATATCACTGACGGCTTTCAAACTATCTTCTCAGAGAAGAACCTTCAGCTTCAAAGTCTTCTTTTCAGTCTACTTCATATATGCATGGTGAACTCATAGGAAACCACAGCTAATTCAGGTCAACCATAGTGTGGCAAATCAGTCTTTGAAGTGACTGTTTTAACAGCTAACCTGTCACCAAATTATATTTAGGCTGTTAATAGTTGCAAACAGACATGCTGGGTAAAGTCTTGTTAATGAATTAGTTAACAGGTGGTTGTCTATTCCACCTCAATGGAGGTCAATTAATGACATGTGTGGGTATATAAAGGACCTCATGATGCAAGATTTCTATAATAAAGTCGTCTGGATTGTCCAGTATTGCCCTGTGAGTTTTAATTGTGCTCATTCGCCTCAGTTAAAGACACAGCAAAGGCACCATAGCTTGTATTTTGAATTGAATTTCAAGATCTGTAATTATCTGCAAGCTTTTTTTGTACTTTTCTTAAAAAATAATTTTGCTGACTGACGCTGATTAAAGTGTGTTTTTAAGTCTCCTGTCTTACGTCCTTATTACAGAGTTCTCAAGGTATCTCTGAAAAGTGACAAAGACAATACTGGGTAGTGCAGGAGGCTTTATTTTTAGAGATCTTAAAAAAATAAAAATAAAAATCACATTTGATTTCCAATGGCAGAAGTTTATTTTAACACAAATTGTACTTCAGCAGGCAGACAACCGGCATTTATTCTTGCCCTTTGGCAGGAAAATGCAAATGTTTTCTGTCACGCTGTTTCTAAGTAAAAAAAAAACTCTTCCTTTCCCAAAAGCCTGTTCATGTCAGATTTTGAGTCCCACCTCTGTGTTGATTTTCTCAGACTCCTGTCTCATTAGCATGGGGGGGCCTGTGTCATGAAAATGTTTAAAAATAAACAGAACAAACCGTGTCAGAGCTGCCAATAAGCAAAGAGCCAGTCTTCAAATGTACATTGTCTGGGAGGGCCTCTATCAGTTCTGGCATGAAACCAAACAGCAATAATTCTTAACCTACAGCTTGGAAGCATGACGAGTTCTACAGCTTACTGTGCCATTAAAGACAAATTATATTTTCTAGTCAAATTAGAAGGTTGCAATACCTCCTACTAATACGATGCAAAAGGCAGAGCTCTGCAATGGGTCTGGTTGTGTCTGTTTTAAGCCCCATCTCATGATATATGATTCTGGGTCCAGCTCGTGTACAGCTTGGCCTTAATTTAGAACCTTGTTCACAGCCCCACACTATGCCATTAAAGGAATAACGGCTCCTGTTATTAGAAAGAATAATCAGGTGCTGGAAAATGAAAATTTAAGTCATCAAAACTTTTGATCATCTGTCTTTATGTATTTTAGGTGCGTTTTTCTCATTTTTAATGGCAATTAAACGTCACTGAAAACCTTATATTAACTTAGTTAAAAAGGTTTAGAAATGCATAGTAAGGTTGCTGACTTTTCAGCTGTAACAAAATGAAACAAGCAAGATCTGAATAAGATGGGAAACTGAGAAAAACATCAGTATTGTGCTGGAAGACTGAGAATATTAAATCTGAGTTAAAATGAAGATAACCAAACTTAATCTTAACTTTATATCTTATCTTTAATATTATATTATCTATACTCCTACTAAATTGATCTACTGCCTCAAGCAGAGTGGTGGTTTATGCTGATGTTACAATAAAACTGGATAATCACAACTACCTCCATAATGATTCTTTGTGAGAAAGAGTCCAAATCATGGATGCTACATAAATCATGAGCAACATATTAAACAAATCTGTCCGATAACTGGGTTTCGATTTTGTTATTCACCTCTGGAGATCTTTGGTCAAGAAGAAACAAAAACAGACAGACAGACCTCAGACGCAAACAACAGCTCAACGGAACCAGAGTGAACTCCATGGCTGCCCTTACCGGCTCTGCTCTCTGCGCTGCTCAATAAGCTGGATGAGGTCCCTGTCGAAGTACTCTTCTTCACACTCATCCTTCCCCTCGTCCTCTCTGTCCCGCGCCTTCACTGCGCTCTTGTGCAGGGGGCTGGAGATGTGGTTGGCGTAGGCGGTGAGCCCCACCACCTCCACCCCACAGACGCGGCACTCGTGGTCACAGTCCCTAGGACGCGAAGGGGACAGGGGGCGGTCAATACTTCCCACTGGCATGGTCAGGCCGAATCCGGGGGAGCCGGTGTGGAGCTTGCCTTCAAACTCGTCCGATCGGGGCGGACTTCCGTGGGGACTGATCTGACCGGAAGGGAGAAGCGCCGCCACCGAAACGAGCTCCTTTGTCCTATGATCCGCAAAGATTTGTCAACATTCAGGAGGCAAAACGACTTTCTGGTTTGTTTTGATTTTTTGCGGGATGAGGAATGGTTCTTCCTGAACTGTTGCGGTCAAAATCCCGGCGGGATAGGAAGCATGGCGAGGCCTGAAGGAGCACAGACAAGCGCGCCCGCCCGCTGCTGGACAGCCTAGCGCTCTCTCATGATGGTGCTGACACTGTGGGGCTGCCCAGCGACTGGGTCTGTTTTTGATCTGTGACACGCAAATCTCCCCCCAGACACCCCTTACATGAAGTGCTGAGGAGGCATGGCCCCTGACCAATCCTGTTCCTCCTGTAACTGGAGCTACAGCAGCTGCCCACCCCCCCTTCCTCTGCCCTATTCAGGAATGCCAGGACTCCAAAGAGGACAGATAGAGAGACACCGTTGTTTCTTCTCATGAGCAGACACAGGGCTGCATTTGTTACTCAAACTGAGCAATGCAACGTGCATTAGACCTTGATCCTGACCCAAAGATTTGATGAAATTCAGTCATGCAGCAGCAGTTACTTTATATATAGAAGCCATGACAGTTATATGTCAGTTTAGAGCAGAGACAGGTTTTTTGAAACCAGAATAAAAATATCTTCAGTTGTAACTAACCCTTGTCTATCTTCTTTATGTTATCTGGTTGTCTTAATAATATGCAACTAATAATGAGCAACCCTTAAACACTCCTTGTTTTGTTATCTTGGTTTTGTTATCTCTTTCTTAACAGCATATATCTTTCTTGATTAATGCATAATGAATTATGGCAAAAAAAATCAAATTCTGCCAAACATACAGTACATTGCATACCAAATCGTGAGTGTTATATGTTAAGTCAACATACTTAACACGCAGGCCAACACCCATGCAGCCTCAAAGACACGCGAATGACATGTGGAATCCACAAGTGGGTGCACTGCTTCCCTGGAATGCAACCAGCGGAGCCCCAGTACACGCTGGGAGCTGGGCACAAGGCAATCACTGACAGCACACACCCCTGTCGCTGCCCAGGTCGCACGTGCTGCAGGGCGGGGAACCCCAACCAGCTTCCAGCCACCCAAATTCCAAACTCCCCGCTCCGTGTAAACCGGAAGACTTCAAAACATCCTTCACAGAGCCAGGGCCCTGTTCCTCTCGGTTTCCTTCAGCATCCTTCACTGGACCCGTTACTCCCAGTTCACATGACTGCACAGTACAGCTTCTGGCTGTATCCAGGCTTCTGGACAGTTATGTGAATTGAGAGTAACACCCCAGCAGAGCTGGTACCTGTTTAAACAGCTGGGCTGATCAGAGCAGGCACGGTCAAGGGCCTTATTCAAAGATACATCATCAAATTAGTGATCTGATCTCCAAAATCCACTGACATTGTGTACGCAGCCCTACGCAGCCCTACGCAGCCCTACGCAGCCCTACGCAGCCCTACGCAGCCCTACGCAGCCCTGTTGTGCAATACAATTGTGTGCTTCTCCCTCACCTGCCTTTTAGGTTCTCCAGCTCTCGGTGGTGCAGCATGCTTCGCATGTGCTCATCCATCTCCTGAGAGAGACAGAGGACAGTCAATGACACACAATGGAGAACAAGACTCAGCTTTTAGACACCTTTAGAACAGACTGTAAATCTGACCCACTCAGTTCAATACAGAAATCAATAGTCCTGTCAAGTCCCTTTCAGTCTATTCTTTTCACAGTTGTGTTACCTTCTTTGAGTTGTAAACGATGTGGCAGAGAATGCACTTCCGTTCTTTTCCCATCTTGGAGCTTCTAGATAGACATCAAGCCATCACCTTGGGAAGCTGTGACAAAAAGCACAAGCCATATTAAAACACAGGTCAAAGACTCCGTTGGACAGAACCTCAGGACAGCTGCCTGGCTAAGCAAGTCATTTTCATCATATGGGTACAATGTGTGCTTTCTAACTAATAAACATAAGGGAGCTTACAAACAAGCATCCCATTTAGCAGCAAGTAGCTCACTGGTCAGCAGATCAAAAAGGCCTTACAAAGAACATTTATTTTTAATCTGAAATCAGGTCTTTTGGATTTTATATTATAGTCACTATCATTGCAGACAGATGCACAGATTTTATGCAGAACAGTCCTGATACATAACGCTCTTGAACTGGTGAGCCAAGTCTGCAGCCCTTCTGGACCTCACAGAATGCATCCTGGGTGATTTCTTTCAAGTCCACAATGAAAAGGCATTAGAGGCAGTAATTACAACACTGAGGTACACATGGGTTTTCTTAAAAAGATCATTCTGCAATTACTTCCCTGAACAAATCAGATAGGTGAGACCCTGGTGACTGTTACACTACAGCTTCCCATGTAGAAGGGCGGAGGAGCACTTACAGTAAGACTTTTAAACAATCTAAATGAAGCTTAGAGAGAAACGAAGAGGACGAGCAGAGCACGCTACCGTAATCTTACTGTGTCTGGACGAATCCAGCTCTAGAGCCTGACATTGCCACACTTCTTATCAATACACAAGAAACACACAGCTTTCAAACAGAACCAAATGGGAATATAGCAAGTGGGAAATAGTGAAAAATAGAAACTACTAAATGTTGTGGTATATTAACCAAAAAAATACGTTTCAGGTACAGAATGTCATTGGGAAGCATAGCAAGCAACAGTCACAACATCTTTGCATCTTTATTTGCAGTGTGAAAGGTGAGAACTACTGCCTTCGGTAACAATTAACAACAGAGTTTAATAAGCTGTCCCTCTTAAACCCTCAAAGACTAAGCTAACCAATATACATTTCCTTAGTAGGACCCTTTATGTCCTTACAAGCAAGTTAAGGTCACTTATACATGTAATTGGAAGCAAATTCTTCTGCTATGAAGCAGCCCAACCTAATTTGAAAAAATTTAGCAGCCATCCCACTCACATTACTCCTGCTAACACAAGCAGAATACCCAGCAGAGGAGACACATTTTCATCTTGGGAAGTGCATGCCAAAAATAAAAACTGAATTCAACTTCTTTTTTAATGATTTTACGGGCAGTTCAAAGTTCTTTCTTTAAGATCTTGACCCATGTTTTGCACAGAGTTCTACTTCTAGCATACTACAATAAAGGCTCCTTTAAAGAAAGAAAAACTACACAAGAGAAATGCGCGATTCTGCCCTCTTGTTCATTTGGCTCGGCACAGCTTCACAGTGGGAGAATTCCATGTGCACATAGTGTCGACAGTCTTTCGCACGACGAATGTGCTTGTGTCTTCCTCACTTATTGTGAGGGGTGTTTCACAGCAGGCCTACACTCACGGCAAGGTACTATATAAGATAAGATAAGATCACTCTATTGGCCATATACAATTTCTTGTATTAGGAATTCATATTTTCGCATACCCCAACTTGCTCTCAATGAGACACACAGACAGGGAGAGAAGCTTGGGGTCAGAGCACAGGGTCAGCCATTTTTAGGGCGCCCCTAGAGCAGTTGGAGTTAAGGGCCTTGCTCAGGGGCCCAACGGAGTAGGATTCCTCTGCCGGCCGCGGGATACGAACTGGCAATCCTTCCAGCCACAGGTGCAGATCCTTAGCAACAGAGCCACCACACCGCTCATATAAGTGTTTGCTCTCATTTCCTATGCATTTAGAAAGTCAAATCTCAAATAAAAGGCATGTTCGATAGCCCACCCATTGTAGCAGACCTTCAAACTCTGTTACAGTAGGTCACACTGACAGAATGCCCTCTGCTACAAGTTAAGGACCAAATCCTAATCGGCAACTCTGTCCCTCCAACATCTGAGGCCACAGCTATTTTCAGCTGCAATAAAGAGAGTGAGATCATTCCTGGCATTTCTTTCGGCTTTCCAGTCCCCAGAGTGGCACCCAAGCAGCCCACTCACACACTTTGAAAGGAAATACAGGGACATCTGATTTAACAAATGGCTACTGTACTGCTCAGGGATCAAACCAGGATCGGGTTTCATCTGCAGCTGAAGCGTCAAACCAGAGAACAAAGATTTACTGATGTAAAATGATCAAAAAGCATGTTTCCTACTATGCAGTATGTGTGCAGTGCTTTGTGTTTATCCAGATTACATTTTATTTGCATAGTATCTCCACCTTATGTTTCATTAGTTATAAACAAGATAGACACTTAATCTTAGAATTACTCCTTTTAAATCTAAAAACTATGAAAAGAAAGAAAATCAATAAACCGGTTGTATGATGCCAAGAAAAAAACACATCATGATTATTATTTACAGGTTGAGCACTCTGCTAATAAAAGCGGAAAGAATGTAAAGCTGTCACATGTATTACGGTTACTTCACTGTCACCTCTACTCTCATTATTTTTCACACTCACAGTGGGGAAACAGAGCCACAGTGCTATAGGCCACATTCGGTACTAAAAATCAAGGAAAAGCATGAGTGTGGATGTTAAGCTGTAGGTTATGAGTGTGGAGGCAGGTGAATGTTAGGTGGATACTGGTTGTAGAATTTGATATGGTGACGTCAACCATACAACCCGCACTCAAGAATGAGGATAACATTAGGATGCCTGTGCTATCGGCTTCTTCGTCAGCTGCAACCAAGACCTCCATGCAAGATAGAAAGATGACTCTATGGATAGCTGAACAAAGCCACAGAGGCACATGCTCTTAGGGCAGCTGGCCATCAGGGAGCAGATATTCCAGACCCTTATTATAACTGTGTAATGCTGCTATATCCTCTTTTTCCTTACTGTAAAACATGTTGAGGAGTCACTTTTAAAGTCGCTATATAAAATAGTTGTTCTCTACCATTGTTTAAATATGTAATTTCCTATAGGAAGAAAAGAAGAGGGTATTTGCACTATCCTATTGCAGGCTGCTAGAGGCAAGTAAGTATAAATGAGTAGAAATGGCACAGTACACTATGCAATATATCTCTGGTGAGGCTGTGAGAGCAACAGTGTTTAGCCTGCATGTGAATTCCCCAACACCTTGCAACCAGTCATCAACCACAGCCACTGACCCCCCGCTGTCTATTTTATCATAATACAGCCAGAAGATTGCGGGGCGTTAGAAACTACAAGAAGGATTTTCAATGTCGGCATGTCACATTCTCCCCTTGAACTTGTTAAGGATTTAAACAGACAAAATTCATTTTATCTGCCTGAATAATTGAGCATCTTGCAGTGCTCGCTGCAAGATCAACTTCGTTTTCTTCGCAATAACACGAGTCGACGAAACTTCTTACAAATATATAACAGAAAGAGCTCCAATCCGGTGACTGGCCATTGGCCCGCCAATTTAAAGATAAGGGTCAGTTTTGATTTTCTAATCACTTAATCAATGGATTTATTCTATCAAGGGGGCTGCAGGGTATTTTGATGTTTGTACTTAATAGTCCTGGACTGTACCAAATGTTTCACTGATCACAGTTAATTGTTTCCAGGTCTGCGGAAGTGACCCCTTATAAACTTATCAATGGGGAAGAAGGAAGGCTCCGGGACCAGGTGATTTAATGCAGTCCATCTCTAGTAGCACGGTTATTTTTGTGATCATGGTTTAACCTTTAAATGATAAAGACTGTTTTTTTTAACAAAACGCTGCACTTCCTAAATACTCTACTGAAACGCTAATGAAAAAAAACAATCACTAGTCACCGAGCACGCAACGAAATAATTTCATGAAGCAAGAGGTAGCATTGTGAGTGTTCAGGAAGCGCAGATAAGGACCTTAACATCGCCACGTATTGTACTTATAAACTCTGCAAAGCACTGTACTATTCCCTTTCCTTTAACGGTAAGCAACTGAACTATGTCGCATCCCTGACAACATCTGGGCGCACTGAGCACCAAACTCGTACACGCTTCCATGTGTCCTACCTCGGAATTGCCTTTAAGGGACTCTCCTAGAGCCCATGGTCTGTAATCAGAAATCTGCGTCGTAGACTTCTATGCCACAGTGCACGCGCTTCCTGTTTAAACTGATATACTGTACTTCGTTTTAGCGGAATTATAACTATTCCCAGCACAATGCTGTTTTCGCCGCCATATTTGCGCGCGTCGACCCCGCCTCTTCCTTCTACGCAACAGAACTGAGGAAATACTGGGAGCGAATCGTGCTCAAGGAGCTCCTAGGAGCGGGGATTCAAGGCCGAGACTACATTTTTCTAGGACTTTGTTGTCTACGTGGAATAGGCATTTCTATACAAATTCTGTTGAAAAGCTCTGCGTTTCGAGTCTCACCTCCAGATCCCGGGCGGGGAAAGAAGGAGAGAAGACACGCTAGAGGTCCCCCGTCCTGCACCAGAGCGCCTGCTTTCGAATTGGTTACTGGTGTAACCCTGATTTTATCTGTTCCGCAATTGTTTATGCACAAGGCACCGCTTCAAGGTTTGTAATATTATAATTAAAACCAATAGTTTGTTTTTCCGCAATGTTCGTTTGCATTGTAATTGATCTTTTTAGGGTAGTACAATTATCGTGTGTGGTGAGCGTAGTGGTGCACTATGGCTACCGTCACATCATCCAGTTGGGTGGTGCACATTGGTGGTGGTGGAGGGGAGTCCCCATTACCTGTAAAGCGCTTTGAGTGGAGTGTCCAGACAAGCGCTATATACAGTAAGTGTAAGAAATGAGTAATTACTGTTATAGTATAGCTAGCTATATACAGTTTCCATTGTATTATATACACGTCGTGGTGTTCATCAATGTTTTATGCGTATTATATGTAATTTTGAAAAACTGTTTTAAGATTTTCAACTGGTTTTGACACTCATCACGAAAAACGATGAACAGGTCTTAAAAATATAACAATGGGAAATGTTTAACACATCGGCAGAGCAGCGTATCATTTTACTACACAACATGCTAAGTGTTTTAACATGATTAAATGAAAAGTGAAACGGTTTAATCTTCTGTCGTGACGACTAATGGAATTCTGCTGCTGGTTTCCTTTCACTACCAAATGTTCACAGTTGGCAAGATACATCTGATATTTGTACATTTTTAGTCTCATTCTTCAATAACTTAATTGAAATTATATGCAACACCAATAGCGTACTAATGGTATGGAGTATTTCAAAATTCCGAATGTGTGTGTGTGTGTAATTTGAATTAATAAAATAGTATTAAAGTATTATTGTTTCAGGAAGTGTTTTGTGTACTTTTTATTTCTCCATAAAAACATCTGTACAGAGAAAAAAAGAATACCGTTTATAGAAGTTATTCATAGCCCACTTCCAAGAATACGTCAACGAAACGTTAAATCTTCGTAAATGTTTAATTTCGTGTGAAAGTGAAATGTACGGAGGAAACCATTACAGCTCAAGAGTCATTCATTACATACGACATAGTCTAATCATTAAAATCATTTTGGTATATACACAGTGATGGGTCGGGGAAAGTGTAAAAAATGTTCTTTGTGTAAATTACAATTGATCATCCAGTTTAATTCCAAAACTAGATACAGCATGTTTGACGGGATTCATTTCTAAAGCACTTCCCTTTATTGGTGTTGGATAGGTTGTTTTCCTACTCTGTAAGGGATGACGTAATTCAAGTTTCCCAGCACTGGGACGCATGCTCAAAGCGGCCGCTGTCCTTAATCAGATCCTCGCATGCGCAGTGCAAATCAGTAGCCGACTGAAGGAATTTGTTTCGACTCTGTACCCCCGCCTGGGAGCTCTGAGTGTGTTTCAACTTAAAATCACAGTAAGTATTATTTAATCCATCTGCGCTTTCTACCACCTTTCTTCAGCTGTCAGGGACTCAGAGGGTAGTCATTTTAAACTTTGTGAGAAGCTGGACTTCGTTATTTCTCGTCGCGGAAGGGTGTTCCGCTGCTGAAATAGCAGAGGAGAAAGAACAACTACACAGCTGTAAACAGGGTTTGAGCTAGTTAGAAGTGCAAAGCAATAGTCTGCTAGAGAAACAAAACGGAACATGAGGAATAATTCTCTATGAATAAGAACAGCGAAACGCCTCTGTTCGTGGCGGCTGCCGGTATCAATCCACCCACTACAGGGAAAAATAAATGTTTCCGTTTCGAAACGTCCACGGCTCCTTTGGAAGTCGGTAAAACTCGACCCTTTCCTATGATAATAACATGCAAAGAAGCGAGGACTCAGATCGGTTGTGGGGATTTTTCTTTTCGGCCTCAACATGAGGCATTGAAGAAATGGGGCTCTCCGCCGAGTGGGGGCTTCGCGAGTGTGGTGGGGGTGCTGTGGGTTTCCAGTTAAGGAAGATTCAGGAGTCATTAATTTTCAAGACCGCAACACAAGAGTGCTCTTCTATAGTTATGTTACTGGGAGACGGTTGTAAAAGTTGTATGTGAAGACTTCTGGAGCAGAAGTATCTGACACGTACTTACTCCTTTGTGTGTTGGAAAAGACTAAACTTCTAAACTCCTTTGGAATTAAAAGATCTGAAAATGTTTCGCTCTCTAACGTTATAGATATCGTTATAAAACTATTCCACCACCGTTTTTATAGCTACAACGATTCTCAAATAGTCTTTTTCAGTGAACTTTTTTCATTTACATATTTCTTTGGCTCCGTATCTGACGTAGATTAGTAAAAGTACTAGTAAAGCCGATATCATTTATGGATTTTTACACCCCAGTGGCTTTAGTTTGTTTACTTAGTGACCCTAAGTATTGAAATAGATTATTTACAAATGTTTTTTTAAGATGAAGTTAGAATACCTATTTCATGGCTTCTAAAGCAGGGAAATAAGAGATCCAGAATTAAAAAAAATATCGTTCAAGTTGGAATAATGGCTTCTTCGAACCAATCATGTCGATTCCTGGACGGGAACACCTTGTGTGTGGAGCTTGCATGTTGCTCCCCACTGGCTTCAGTTTTCTCTAGGTGCTCCAGTGTCCTCCCACCTCGCAGCAATGTGCTCGCTGGGATCATTGTCATCGCAAACTGGGGCGTTCCTGTGTTAACATGCACTGCAATGGTCTGGTGTCCTGTCCAGGGTATAGTTCCTGGAGGCCACTGACCCTGACTGGGAACAACTATATTTCTGTTAACAGACTGATGGGTCTCGGGCAGGAGAGCTGCATTGCTGTGGGCAAGGGTGGGTTAACTTTAAATGAGGAAGCAGAGGAATCGTTCCAAGGCCTTGCTGTACCTCTTCTGATCCACAGGCTTTAATCAGTAAGCCGACAAACTGCTGAGTGTGCGCTGAACACGGTATCATCCTGTTTTCCTACTGTTTTAGCAGTTTGAATCACTCAGGGCATCCGGCAGCTAGTGATGGGTGAAGAGAAGGGGGAGCACTCCATGAGAGAAAATATGGCATGCTTCAGCTGACGGTTTCACTCATCCCATTTCCTGTGTTATAGGGAAATCCAAACAACTCAAGGCCTTAGCTGAGTGATTGAAGCCAACATTTCTTCTGCTTTAGAGGCGACAACTAGCTTTCTTGTGGTCATTGTAGAAATGCATTATAATGGAATCACCTTCGTTTGCTTCATAGGAATACATAAAAAGCTTTAGTAGTCCAGGTGGTAACTGTCAGCATGCGTAGGCTGCAAAGGAACAAGTAATAGGTTTATTCCATGCTGAGAAAAAGGGAGAAAGAAAACAACGTTTTGGCCGTGAAGCCTTCACTTGACACCTGGATGTTTCTCTCGGCCGAAACTAATCTGTTATGAAACAAGCAACTAAGATAAGTTTTAGTCCTCTTTTTGCTGGATGGGAAATCCATTTTTTTAGCCCTTTGCTGAAGACTGCAGCATTTTTGTAAAAAATTTTTTTTTCCCTTTTTATGCATAGTTTCGAGGGGAATGTGACACTTCCAAGTGTCTAAATGTTTTGTGGTTTGACAGGGATGCAAATGCCATTCGCAGGTTAAAAGTCCACTCCAAAGCGAAGATGTTTTCTCTTCCATTGAAAAAGTATAAAGAGCCACAGACGACTTCTGAGTCGCTTTGTTCTTTACTGCTGGAGAACAGGTTTTTGTGGACTAGCTGGAAATGTTTGTAGCCTTAAGCAAATATACCAGCACTCTTAAGCTTAGTGTAATGCGACAGGAGCAGGCATCTGGTCTGATGGCTGTGTGTGAAATTGTTTTCACAAATAAACAGGAAAAAAAGGCACAACATTTTTCTTCGTGGAGTCTGTTGCTGCCTTTGTGAAAAAGACTAAAGCAGCTTTTCACAGCACGGAAGTTGGAGAATGTCGAGTTTCTGTAGTTGCCACCACAAGGAAGTCACACTTTGATGCACACAGTTTTCACCATTCTTACTCGCATTCATTTTAGCATTGTTCATCAGGGGATAAGAATGTAAGGAAGGCTCGGTCGTATTTCAACTATTTCACATGATAAGGCTAATTTCTAGTTTCTCAGGTACCGAAGAAAAAGCTATACAAAGTGGGTTGAGAAGGTGGCAGCTATAGTATTTCATTTGAGCTGCCGCTGTTTGAATATCTGTGTACTTGCCTCTTATGGGCAGAAGTGATAAACTCACATGTCATTCTTCAGTCATGAGGTCAGCAGCAAGTCCTGCCTTGCAAACAGTTAATTTGACTGATATGAAAGATATCTAGCTGACATACACAATGTGATTGTGTAAACCACAAGTGTTCTAGCCAAAATACAGAAATAAACAGATAAATGGCAAGTTAAATTTAGTGTAATTTCATGTAGGAATTGACATGCAAGAACTTTGACCATATCTATGAAGTGCATGGCAGATCAGTCCGAGAAGATCTAGCCATTATGTTGAAACCAATAGGATGTCCAAGAATTAAGGGCAGTGTAGATCTTCAGGGATAAAGGTATTCAGTGCCCTGGCTTGGGTATCTTGTAAAAAAGATGTTGTAGAAAAACCTTAGAGCTTAGACAGACTTTTCCAGGCCTGAATAGAATGAAATGTAAAGTTAAACTGAAAAAAACCTATAAATATGAAGACTTAAAAGTTACCAATTAAAAATTCTAAAGTATATTCTTCAAGATATTTGAAAACCCATCAGCCATTTTGTGCAAGGGCTTTAATGCAGATTGTTAACATAAGGGTGTTGATCAAAGCTTTTTTTGAGTCATTAAAATATTAAACAGTTTTCTGGATCCTTCAGCATCCCGGATAAAGCACACATGAACATTTAAAGGATACGAGTGATCTCTTCTAGTCCTGTGTAAGTGAAGATAGTATCTAAAAAAAGAGGATGTGGTAATCTGAATTGGGCTTCCTTAGAAGTACAGTGAGTCCAAGGAAAGTTATAAACTTTCTTCTTGGTGGGGAAACAGAGAGACAAGATGTTGCAAGAATGGCCAACAAAGTGTAACATAACATTAGTTTGAAGGGGATAAAGTCTCCATTGCAAATGTGGCTGCAAATGAAAAGACACTGCCTGTTCGCACTGTCCTTTGCAAAGGAAAGTAAGCTGGTCAGTGGTCAAAATGGCTTTGTGTGTGTATGACTGCAGGACTGATGCCGTGCAATTTCACTTCAGGCCTGGGGCGGAAGGGTGATCAAGCGAGGGTCGGGGACAAAGGAGGAAAGGGAAAAGATGGCTCATGCCACAGAGGAAGGCAGAGTTCAGTGTCTTAACCTTGCTAGATCTAAATCTCTCTTTAATTGCAGTTTTCAGCTTTTAGCTAAATGATAACTGAGCTCTGCCTCTCGGTTTCTGTTCTGTTTTGGGCTAATGTGCATTAATACAGAATTCTTCACTCTTTTTTTGTCACGTCTTGCATCACACTGTTACCAGGGTCCCCCCTCAATTGCCCCAATCTGTCGTTTTGTTTCTTCTGTTCATTGGTTTGAACCAAACCAGTGTTGCAAGGCTACCATTTTGTGGAATTGACTACCTCTTCAATGTCGGAATCCCCTTAAAAGATTGCCTGCTTAATGGGTCTCATGGGTGTGGTCCCATTTTTCTATACCCCAGTCCTGAATTTTGGAGTCATCATCTTGGTACGGTGCTTCAGCCTTCATGCTAGCGGAAATTCCCGGTGCTAGATCACAAAGTTACCAACACAGTGTGCTGTGGATTGTGACACCAGAGCCCTAAATACCATGGGTGGATTCATTCTTTTTAAGCCTCCTTAAGTCAACGTATTATTCAGTAACCTTGCAAAGGTAAGTATAAAAACCTAAATTGTGCAAGGTATTTTTATGGATTACTGAACGGTGATCAGGAGAATTGAATGATAACTGTAGTGTGGAGTACAAAGAGCTGGCTAAAGAGGGTGTAAACTGTGTATCACTGGTCAGAGGGCTAATGTAACAAAGTACATCACTTGACTCGAAGGTTTTGCATGGCCTGACTATAGCATAACCATTCACCTTGTACTAGGATATCTGTGGCTTTTCTAAATATTTGGCACCTTTGCAGTTTGCTTTGTGGTAGCATCACATGTTTATATTCCAGGAGTGGACATTAAGGCACTAAACGTCAGGTAAAAAAATCCTGACACTGAAGCATCTAGTTGTGTCAATGAACAGCTTAGGGGTGTAAGGTAATGGGGTGGAAAGGACTGAGCTCAGAAATGGGAGAAGGCTATTCAGCCTATCTGTCCTGTATGGTAGTAGCTAATTGCTGCTCCCAGGATCTTACCCAGCTGGTTCTTGAAAGGAGACAGATTATTGGCTATTAAATTCAAGCAGGAGGGTTCTGCTTTTCTGGGATTGTATGATTGTTAATTGATTATTGAATTCAGACTGTAGTTGTACTCAAGTTAGTCTTTGAAGTGACTAACCACAGGAAAAAAATAAAGTATTCCAGAACTAGCCGTCTCATCCCAAATGCATATGCCATGGGCAGCAGAGAATGCTAAGAATGATAGGATCTGTGATCCAGAGTGTGAAGTGCAGCAGCAGAAAATGCAGATGAAAGCCTGCTGCTTTAGCAGATGTAATGGCAGCTGTGAAATTACCACACAGTACATAAATATTCATGGGCAGCAAGCTGAAAGTGTGATCACAGATGGTAAAAAAAAGAAACCTTAACTGTAATACATAGGCTTAGTCCGCAAGGCATTTTAAAAAATGCAGTTCCAGCTTGGAAAAATGTGTAGAATTTCAAGTCGGAAGTAATGATAAAGTTATATATTGCAGGAACTGTATTTTTTTCACTCTCATCACGCTAATAGGTTAGCAACATGAGGCTAATGCGGCTTCCAAACTCATAGAATTAAAAGAACATGTTTGAAAGCCATAAGCATCGCGAGCAAACTCGAACCCGGGCCACTGCATCCTAGAGCTCCTCTTGGGTTTGGGCGAGTGTCTTTCCTGGTCGAGTCACTCAGGCTCGTTTTTTACCTGTCTTGCATAGTAACACCTAGATCCTGCTTTCTCTCTCCACAGACCACAGAGTGCACAGCTGGTGGGTATCAGCAGAGCGCCCCAGAACTCCAGCAGCATGGCGGAAATGTCAGTGGAGGATATAACCATGCGGGCCAACCAAGTGACTGACGAGGTAGGCCTGGCTCTGTGCCTCTGCACCCCGCACAGCCTCAGCAGAGAGTGTGTGGCTGGCAGGACTCTTGAGATTTCGACAGACCTCTTGAAAAGCAAAAGCTGCTCTAAAATTATATGCAAGTTTTTCTTATTTTATTTAAAGTACTTTTTTCTGTCCCTTTTTAAAATATTCTATTAAAGTTGTTTTAATGATGTCATCATTATATGCAAGACCTCCTGTATATCTTCCCATAGACACATGCCTATGTTGTCTACCCATGTGTTTCAAAATATCCTGAAAAACAAGACTTTGAGAGGTGTTATTTGGACAACAGATTTTTTTTTTAAAGTTTTTTTTGTACTGTTGTGTACCCATTGTATGGTAATGAATTACTCTATGTTTTTTGTACTATACAATCAAAGTTACTAGGCTGGGAAGTCAAAGGAAATGGGCTCATGGCTCTTTTTGTTTTGAACCTCATTGTTGGTTTTGTTTAATAAAAACAGCCATTAGACTGGTACTTCTGCACAGCTCTGTCCTTGATGCACAACTGCACACTAGCATAAAGTAACTCATTTTCAGTTTAGTTTGTTCACGCCTTCTGTTTTGCAATTTAGTTTTGCAGATTGCAACAGAACTTGGTGTTACTAGCTAGGATGGTTGTAGACAACTTTTTTATTGTTTATGAGGGAACAAAAGAACAGATCTTTCCCTCATTTGTCTAGATTTTTCAATACAAAAAACAACCCATGCTAAATTAGAGAAGTGTATACAATAGTCATTGGTATTTCCATTTTGAATATTTTCTTCATCTAGTTGCAGCTGAAGTGGGGGAAAACATTTCTTTGGTTCAGTAATTTTACTTCCTCAAATTCATAAAATACATTGCCTGCAATAGTGGTGTTCCCCAGAGTTTAATATCTGAATTACAGGTTTGAGTCAGGCTCGGTGTTTGAAAGGTCATGCTAAGCCATTATTCACTCTTAATGAGAATGAGACAAGCAGACGGTAACAGCAACACTGCCTGGATTGACTGGATTCCAGTATGACATTCCACTGTGGTGTCACTGATTCAGCTGGTGTAGTAGTGTTCAGGATGAGAGGAACTGTGGCTGCAGGTACAGATATTTGGTGTCTGTGCTTGTCTGAGAAGCCAGTGTTGCAGGGCTACCATTTTGTGGAATTGACTACCTCTTCAATGTCGGAATCCCCTTAAAAGATTGCCTGCTTAATGGGTCTCATGGGTGTGGTCCCATTTTTCTATACCCCAGTCCTGAATTTTGGAGTCATCATCTTGGTACGGTGCTTCAGCCTTCATGCTAGCGCAGGAGGAGTGTGAAGAGCAGGTAAACACAATTGTGTGCCATCTGCTAATTTGTTCATGTCAAGCCCCCTAGCTGCAACAGCATTGCATGGAGGAAAGACCCTGCTCTCGCTAGTAACACCACAAGCTTGCAGGAGTTAGTTGTACACCACCTGGAAAGTCCATCTCAGTGGGCCAAAGTGCCAAAAGTCTTTCCCTAAGTGGGGACTTTTCCCTCCTCAAACTGTGTTTGTTTCTCCATGAAACACTTCATTAATACAGAGGGAAAGTAGCAGCAGCCTATTCCTATGGTTCAGATGAGCCTAACACATCGCTTAGGCTTGAAATAAATGGCGTTTGGCCTTATTCGTTGACAATTGCAAATAAAATTCTCCAGCTGGTTAACTTTGGTTTACAAGAGGAAATAATTTTACTGTGTTTTCAGTATCCATATAAATTTATACTGCAGTTTTTATTGTTCCTCTGTGTTTTTGTCCTCAGTTGTTGGTGTACCTGTTCCAGGGTGTTTGTATTCAGTGCAACTTGAAACAAGCACCCTGAGTGTACTGTGAAATCTGAGTCACTGTTAATCAGGGTTCTTCCTGAAAGTGGAATAATGACACCTTCACCTTCACTTTTCAGCGTCATAAACCTTGTGTGATTTGAAAAACAGCTTTGAAGAATCAATTAAAAAGAAACTACAAATTAATTAACACAATTGTGTATTGTATACTATATAGCTGTTCATAGCTTCCCACCTGTAGAACTTATGGATTTTCTTTTTCAGTCACTGGAAAGCACCAGGAGGATGCTACAGCTGGCAGAGGAGGTAAGCCTGTATTTCTTTTTTCAGTTTTTACACTGTTGCTATTGTTGTGGTCTCTAGATTATTCTTAGATGGGTTGAAAAAGTGGCGTAAAGCTGCCGTGACAAATTACATTGGTTTATTGAAATCTTGTTCCTAAATGTGTGGTGTCATTTGTTCACAGTGGTACAGAGCTTCTCCTTTTCAGTATTTTGTACATTCAGGCCTTGAAATTTCAGAGATCTGAATCATACAGACATCAGGACATTATAGAACCTGTCATTTTTTTTTCACAAATCAATATAAAGCATATTGTGTCTTATTAAAAGAAAACTGGCTGTCTTCTGTAGTGCTAATGAGGAACCAAGCGTTTTGATGCTTTTATGATCTACACAGTTTAAAGAAGTGTTTAACAGAACCACACGCACCAGTGGTTTTGTAACATGATTTTTTTTTCCTGTTCAGCTAACCAGAGCCTTTGCTGATTAGAAGTTGCAGACAGTGTCCTGACCTGGTATAAAGACATATAGGAGGTTACAAACAAACTATTTTGACCTATGTAGGTTCTTTGGTTGCTATGATTATTTTGTTAAGTTGGCTGGCATTTTTAACAAATCCAACTTACATTCATCCATTTATACAGCTTGGTATTTTACTGGAATGATTTTGGGTGAAGTATCTTCCTCTAGGGTAGAACAGTTCTGTCTTAATTGGAATTTGAACCCACGAGCTTACAGTTTTAAGTTCAGATCCCTAACCAGTGCGCCACACTGTTACACCTAGTATTTGTAGGTTGCTAGTAGCTACACTGATTTCATTCAGCTGTTTCTTTAAAAAAAATATAAAGAATATTATTTTTTATACCATGCCCCTTTCTCCTCGAGATGTCTATAAAATGTTTAAACGTGAAAATGTATCAAAATGTATCAATGTATTACAGCTGATCAGAAATTATCAACTGCCAGGCTCACTGCAAAGTATTCTAAATCCTTTGGTAAAACATCTTTCACAAAGCAGCCTTTGAAAATGTAGTCTTTTTAAAGCTTTCCATTTGCATACTAAAAAGACAAACAACAGTCAATGGAATACAAGGTAAAACATCTGTTACACTTAAATATACTGTGTATATATAAATATAGTGTAACAGTATAGTTTTATACAGCATTTACTGTAATGATTTCGTAGTGGTCTTTTGCCATCTGTCACCTGCTAAACTGCAGCTCTTAAAGTTACATGATACAAATGCTAAAAAAACTGTGATGCAGGAAAAACAATTTTTTTTTCTCTTGTAAGAAGAGTTTGTGGAGTGTTTAAGTGTTTAAGATAACTAATTTAAGACACAAATTTACAGGGCATGTAAGTATCTTTTGCCCTCTTTACCCTCGCTATTTCATGTCTGCATTGTGTCATTTCCCCTGTGGTCTGTGGTGTGTGTTCTGTCTAGGTTGTTTTGCATTAGCATTTCTAACTAGTGGACAGATTAGAAAATATCTGCCATGCATTTTCTTTGCTCAAAACTGGAGGAATTATTCCGTTTTGCTGAACAAATCACTAATTTTAATTTTCCTGAACCATATATTGAATGAGAAACATTTCCCATGAAAACTCTGCACACCTTGTGTTGTGTTCTCCATGCCTTGCTCAGTTGTCTGTGTGCTGGTGCACAACCTCGGGAATAGCAAATAAGACAGTGAAATCTGGAGTATAGGCAGAAACGACGCACTAGACATGATGTGAAGTTTGTCCCTGAAGGCTTTAAAAGGTCTTTATAACCACTGTATGTATATTCTTTATTGTCAAAGCACTGACAAATATACAGTTAGGCATAAAATTAACAAGTGGACCTCGGAGTGTTTTGGACTTGAATGTGAAAACACACATAGAAAGAGCTACAGTACTCTTGTCATCTGGTTCCCTTTTATCTGCAAAGTGTAAAAGGAATGTGTTGCACCAGCCTTCCATGGACTAAATTAATGTGAATCTCCCTTTATCTGCAGAGCCGAGAGACGGGTGTGAAAACTATAACAATGCTGGACGAGCAGGGGGGTGAGTTTTTTGTAGGCTAGGAGTGTATTTGTTTTTAATAACTTGTCTTCAACTCTCAGCTAAAGATTCTTACACATCTCCTCAAAAAGTCTGGAATAACACACAGGTTTACATAAAATGTTAAACACTGATTGTGTTGTGTGATTTCTATTAATATTTAACAGAAACAAACACCACAAAAGGTTTAATGCTTTTTAATGAAAGTACTGAGATAAAAGAAAGCTTTTTGTAAAGTGTTCAAACGGGAGTAGTCCTTTAATGATAGCTGCAGGCCTTAATAGTTGTTCAGATAGACAGTTTCTATCATGCTGCACAGTTCTTTCTGCAGAGCAGTTGCTAGTGAAGCAACCATCATTTTCCATTCAAAAGGTGTTCTCTTGCAACATGCCAGAAAATGTTTTTAGTGTCTGTTTTGAGTTATTTAGTACTGCACTGTACACTATTAAGAAAAAATAAAAGATCACATAATAAAAAAATATTTATTCTTCTTTTGAAAATGTCATTGTTCTGTGATTCTCCTTGAATCACATTGCTTTGTGATATTGTTTGTTAGCTAAGTGATGCACAGGTCCTCACCATACAAAATGTCAGAATCACCTAAAATGTCCAAATACACACTAGCAATAAAAATATCTTTAATCCTAATACTCTTAGCAGCTTCTACATAGAAGAGCCTGTGCCCTGTGTATGGAAAGGCTCTCTTAGCTCTTGGAAGCAAATGGTCTAGAGTGTGGGACAAGTTGCACCCCCACTGTTCTGTAACCCCTCTTTCCAAGGTCTTGGGGAAGTTGTCTTGGTATGTTCACACATGTGATCACTGACTTGTGGGATGTTTCCATGACATTCAGTTCTTATGTATTCCATTTCCTGGATAAGTGGTCC